GCTCATTTTGGACGGCCATGAGAGCCACCTTAACCAGGATTTCAAGGACTACTGCCTTAAACATAAGATCCTCACCCTCTGCATGCCACCTCACTTGTCGCACATCCTCCAGCCACTTGATGTGGTCTGCTTCTTACTGTTGAAGCGCAAGTACTCTTAGCGCATACAAGACTTGGCACGCAAGCGCGTCTTCTACATTAATAAAGAAGGCTTCCTACTAGCCTTTAAAGACGCGTTTTGCAACGTGTTTACAGAGGCAATCTGTTGCAAGGCCTTTAAGGCATTAGGACTTGTCCCTCTTAACGCGTAGGTTGTATTAGATTGCCTTAAAGTGCAGCTGCGTACCCTGCCAGAACCCCTCCTCCTAGAGACGCCATGGCAGTCAAAGACTCTAAGCAATACACATGAGTTTAGATCGCAATCAAAGCTTGTACGCGAGTCCTTTACACGTTCTCCTATTACTGCGCAGGCAGGCTTCTCTCAGCTTATTAGAGGCGGCGAGCTTATGCTGCATCAGAACGCGCTTCAAGCAGCCCGGATTACTGAGCTTGAAGAGCAATTAGCAGTGATGACCAAAAGGAAATCGCGCAAAAGGAAGCGGATCCAGCATGGCGGCACAATGGAGTATGGTGAGGCAGCAGCCCAGGTGGCCGCAGAGGCCTCTATAGCCGCTGAGCGGTCGAAGAAGGCTCGTCGTGGTGGTGATCAAGAGAGAGCCCAACCAGCTTTACGGCGCTGTGGGAACTGCGGCAAGACTGGGCACAACGCGCGAACGTGTAAAAAGGATGTAGAGGAGACTTCTAAATTAGAGGTTAGTACAGCGTACGCAGGCTCCTTGTATAATAGTAATGAAAATAGAAATTTGTAACTAGTGTTGGTTGTGCCAAGACATTTTGAGCTGTTGGGTGGTTTGAGCTGTTGGGTGGTGGAATACGTTATTCTATTAATAGGCCTATAATATTATTTAATAGCTTATTTTAAAGAGGAGACTTAGTAGTATATTAATATAATAAAAGTATAGTTTATTAAGCAGAGCTACTATTATAGCAGGATTAGGAGTTATTATAGCTATTGCAGCTGTTAGGACTGTTAGAGCTGTTAGCTTAAAATTAGCTAGACATTGAATGCACATTGAATAACTGTTGTAGGCCTACAAGTCCTACTGTTTCCCATAGTACAATGCCACGATTTCCTGATTTTGACAACGGAAAAACTTTTCCTGATGAACTGTCTTAGCAATAGGTGCCTGGGCAACAGGTCTAGTGGCAGCATTAAATTAGAAAGGTGGAAGTCTAGGCATAGGGGGGGGTAGCAGGTCTGCTCGCAGGTCGTTTAGAAGAGGCAGTAGGCCTTGGCAAGGTAGACCTTAGAGGTATGGCGGTAGGTGGAGGCAGAGGCGTCGATGGATGCTGAGGTAGAGGCATAGGAGTGGGTGTAGGTAGGTACAACTCTCCTAGAGGGTCAGGGGAGCTAGGAGTGCTCAGCTCCATTGTCTCCCTGTCTAGAGATTGCTCTCTACTAGCCAGAGGTTCTAGTTCCATTGTCCTAGGTCCTGGGTCCTAGGTGAAGGTATCCTTCTCTTTTATAAGGAAAAAATACAAAGTGACTAGAGGAGAGCTTATTTTTGCACAGGCAGAGGTACCTAATCTCTGTCTGCTTTTTAGAGCTGAAAAATAAGGTAAAAAGGCTGTCTTAGTTTTACTATTCTTGCCTTATACCCTATTCTTACTAGCCTAACTAGTAGACCTCTAGGAGTAGAGAGTAAGGTTAGAAAGCAGAAAACTAAGCAAAGGCTTATTACTGTCTATTGTATAGGTAGCTGTTTTATTTAGGTTTTAGTGTTCTTGTAGATAAGATCTTTAATAAGATAAGATTTTCTAATAAGGGTGGGTAGTCTGTGCGTTGAAAATTTGAAAATTTGAACAGGAGGGCGGCACTCCTGCACCAGGCAGCGCGAGGCAACCAGGCGCCTAGAGGCTCTAGGAGTTTCAGGGTAGTATATCCCAGTTGAGTTGAGATGGGCGCAGGCGAGAAGAGAGATAACGTGCACGGCCTCGTTGTGCACCGCGGCGCGTGATGCACCAACATCACTTTTTGTACCCTGAAACAAGTAAGATTATTGAGCAACACTACGACGCTGCTATTACAAGATAATTTGGTAGATTACTAAATAGACTATTGCGAAACTTTTAGCTACTACAGTTTTCTAGGGGGACGCGTAGTGCGGCTAGTAGATGCTGTAGTAGGTGGTGGTGGTAAGGGCGACCTGTGAGGCACCCGCCAACTACGCACAGCACTACTACTACAATTCTTTATTACTTTTAACTAAGATTTCTATAAGGCCTTACTCTTAGCCTATTTAGGTAATTAAGTACTTCTTTTTGTGTTGCTCTTGTGCTTTACCTCCTCTTTACAAGCCTTAGTTTAAGCGCGCTTTGCAGCCTGTGCCTTAGCAGTTAATACCTTCTTCTTCTCTTACTCTACACACTTATCCTCCTTCTCCTTTGCTTAAATAATCTTCTTCTAGTATTAAAGCTCCTTCTTAGTAGCTTTTGCTGCCTCTGCAGCGCGCTTAAGGTCCTCTTTTGCCTAGAGTTCTTGCTTTGCGCGCTTAATGCGTGAAGGACTCTAGAGAACTGCACCACTACCCTTATTACTATTAATAGGTTGCAAAGGTAGTACCTTCTACTTCCTCTTCTTATTCTTATTAGCCTTCAGAGCCTCTTCTAGGCTGTTAACCCTAGCCTCTAAGATATCTAATTACACGTAGAGTTAGTAAAGGGCTTAATTAACTGCCTTAGCAGCACTAGGTACATTATCTTCTCTTGCACGCTTGAGAAGCCGCAACGTCTTGCGCCAACTAGGTAATTCTGGTGCAGGCTGAAGCTGAGTAGGCTCTAGGGTCGTGCTAGGCGACTTTGGTGTTAGGTTTCTGAACTTCTTAAGCACGACGTTGGCATCTGGTGGGTGAATCCCAGTGCACTTAAAGGCCTGTACAACAAGGTCTTTAGTGAAGGTCTTCTTCCACGCTGCCCAAAAAAGCGGGAAGAAGTCAGCCTGAGCCACAGGTACCCACCCCTCGGTGGTGTGGCCGCGATGAAGGAGCTCATCAGAGTAGTGCTGCGCCAACGGCCTGTAGCACGCCACATCAAGCGGCTGAAGCGCGTGAGTAGCATGCGGAGGGAATATAAGTAGCAGAATCTTGTTGGCATAAGCGTATTCAATAAAGGCCTGCGTGACGTGGCTGCCGTGGCCATCAAGGATCAAGAGTCTGTACTTCCCTCGCGCCCTCACTCTTGTATGGCGATCAAACACTTGCTTGAGCCAGGCAACACCAAGAGCATCGTTCGTCCAGCCATTTACTGAGGTACTAAAGTGTATATCGTGTTTTTTGGCCTTAACGCGCTGCACCTAGCTCTCTTGCATCTAGAGAGACGATGAAGGATAAATAACTGCAGGCGGCAACGTAAAACTATCAGCTCCTACTGCTCCTACCACTGTCACCCACTTCCTGTTGCCATCATGAGATGCTAGCTTGTATTTCTGGAGTCTAAAGAGCTGCTTATTGAAGATTCTAACGCCCTTGCTTATCACTCTAATTATAAATCCCTTCTTATCTATATTGTACGTGTTCTCTGGCTGTATTGAATGCTGCTCAATGGTACTGTGCAGCAGATCAAAGTATGAGCGAAAGGAATCGTATGAAGCAGCTTCGTGGCGCTGCTTTTCCATAGGCGCGCTCCAGGCTGTGAGAAGGTTGTCAGGGTAGCAATAAAGGAAGCGCGTGACCCATTGATCAGAGGGCTCCCACTTGCACAACGACTTGATTATTCTGACAAGAATCTTTCTTGTAGGCATGAGGTGTCTCTCTGTGAGCGATTTGATGTACTGCACAACCTCTACTTTATTGCGTGGGTGGAGAACCATCTAGTGTTCTGCCTTGGCTTTACGCGACACGCATTTGCCCTTGTACCTGTGGATTAATGTTGTGTGACAACAACTGTGTTTTTTGGCAAGCTTTCTGTACGAAAAGTCTTTAGTAGGGCCTAAAGTATTTAGCTCTGCAAGGGCTTCTTCCAGCGGCATCGTGGTGTTGAGTTATAGGGGGGTACAAAGTACGCGTCAATGTTGATGTTGGTGCATTACGCGCCGCGGTGCACAACGAGGCCGTGCACGCTATCTGGACAATTTGTGTTTTGGTGTTGCGTGTGTATGTCTGCTTTGTTTAGGTGCTGTCGCAGCAAGGATCGAGGTGAGGGTGCATATCACGTGATCCGCATCTGGATATTGGACCGATCAGACACTGGCGATCTATCACGCCATGGTGAGCGGAATCGGGTATAGCTTGGAGCCGTGATTAGGGCTCCAATTAGGGTATAGCTGGATGAGCATTGGTGTATATATTCTGCTCATTCAGCACCGTAGATAGAACAAGGAACTTGATCACTTTCTTCACACTTGATCAACGATCAGAGACCACTCAGCTTCCACAGGTGCGTTTTCTTGTTATTGCGTTGAGGCATTGTAGGTAGAGTAAAGTTTAATGTGGTCTTGGCAAAAGTGATCAGCTCGCTTGGGTGATCAGCTCGCTTGTGAGGTACGTTAGTGGATTCATACCTGTTCCAGATATCTCTCTTCTTGCCTGCGTCGTTACACTGTGAGCTGGGGGGGAAATCCTCGCGCAGCTAGCTAAAGGATATAATGAATGTCGCAGCCAAAAAGAAGGCAAAATGTACATACGTTAGCACCCCTAAATTGGCTGGTAAATCGGCATGATATCTGCTGCGACAATTAACAATCACCCACTCCTTGTTACTGTCCAGGTTCTGTAAGTTGGCTGCAGAATTAGCGCGTGAAGGTTGTCCTGCGCGTTGTTTGCTTAGTGTAGCTTGAGGAACCCTGTAGATAGTTGCAGCGCGTTGCCAGGAGAGAGTCGCGTCTTGTTTAAGAGCCTAGAGCGCAAGCTGTATTTAAGCCTCCTTTAACGCGTCTACCTAGTGTTGTTAAGAAGGCATTGGTGTAGTAAAGGTGTTGTGGTGGGGGCTTGGTAAAAGTGATTCTCTCGCCCGTTGATTCTTTCGCCCGTGGGGTACGTTACAGAGATATCTTCTAAATCAGGTACAAGCACAAAATACATAGGTTCCTAGTTTGATAGCGATGAAATCAAAGAGTTGTAACGTGATTTGGTCACGCCAGGGAAAACTGACCAGCGTGATGGGTTGGCCAGGGTGATGGTGGATTTCATTAGCCATATGAAATGCTTCTAATTCAAGTTTTAATAGTCAGTTACCTAGATATTGCGTTGTCGTTAAAGTCCCTTTAATGCTGCAATCCTGCAAGGCAAAAAACAAACTTGTGAAAAAGGTTATGTAAGCGCTCTGTGTGTCGGCTTCGAAGGGCATTGAATTCAATCGTCGGGATACTCGTCCCTCAAGTTACTGACGAAGGTATGACTGGCAGCATCCCACCGCTTGAAGTGGCGGCCAGCCAGCTTCATGATAGCGGCAGAAGGTAATGTGTCTCGCCCAACAGGCTCAATATTCTCGGCAGCCACGTAACGCACAGACTTGTCGTGAACACTGTATATGATAAGCCAGGGACTCGGTGAATTCGCAGCATCAAAGCCTGGGCACTTACAGCACGTGATAGAAAGCCTGCTCCCTGCCTCCAGGCAAGCGATCGACACCCATGTTCTGTATCCACTCCTCACCTGCATCACAGCTTGTATCCCATCCTGTGATGACGCCTTCGTAGGCATACCTTCTGTGCCTGAATACTGTTCCGACCCTGTGCCAAACTGCTCGCGCCCTCGCAGTCCTTCGTATCAGCGGCCGCCTTATTGTGTCGATGTGATGCATGCTCTGCACAAACTGTAGCAGTCGTTGACCCTCAGGCTGTGTGTAAAACATTGGTATAATGTACTGTTCAAGCAGCGCCACGTCCCACGAGAAGTGGGTCTGGAAGTGCTCGAGTAAGTAGGGCAAATACTGCCGCCGCCGTGAAGACACTTGCTGGGTGGAGCCGGGGGTGCCTCCGTCGCTGGGACCGAGCATAAGCATTGCCCAGATGGTGCTGTAGAAGGCATTATCCATGTCTGGATACTCATCTAGCCAAGCTGTGCTAATGCCGTGGGGCCCAACTTGGGCTTGCCGAATGGTTTGCACAGAGTTCATGATGTTGCGTGCTGTGCGCAATACCATTTCGCGCGTTGTTGTGTCCGATAGGAAGGTCTGATATTCTGTGGAGGGTATTCCCGCGTTACGGAGCACGCGTAGAAGATCACCTTGGCGTACTTCGTCGGAGGAGCGGAATGGATCGAGATACATGGATTCAAGCGGGCCAGTGGTACTAGGAGTGTATTCGCCATCCAACGTCTGCTGTTTGGGCGCGTAGACAAGGCAGTAGACGTGGAAGAGGAAGCCGCACGGGCGAGCATCAAGACCGACTCTCTGTGCGAGGGCACAGAATATAGCTACAGATATGAGAGGGAGCGACTGGTGTCGAGGCGACCGCAGGACAAGTCCGAAGAAAGAGTTCCGCAATGCGCGATATGAAGCGTCCGGTGTGCCCTTGAAGCCTTGATTGCGCAGATAGGTGGCAAGCGTCGATGCTCTTGCCCGCGTACTGAGACGTTTGAACTCAGGATGTTCGCCGTGCAACCCAGCTACAAGACGGTCCAGGTCGTCCGTCATAAGATCAAAGTCAACGTCCTCGCCACTTCGCGAAAATATGTCGTATGCGCCCAGCGCCCTGTCCATGGGCACTGGCTTGCCCTCATGCAGATCCTTCCAAACGTTGATCGCTATCTCTCGATGTATGCGCTCCAATGTAGCATTGGCATAGTATCGACGCGCCAGTACGTCCTCGGCGTCGTCAGGACATGCGCGCTCGCGCAGCAGCGTTTCTTTCGCATCGTACCCAAACTCGGCAATGTCGTTGATGCATCGTATGCGTTCGTGCTGCGTTGCTATGATGTGGTCTAGCAGCCGTCGTGTCTCGTGCTCAATGCGCCTCTTCTGCGTGAAGAGGGCGCGCCAGTTGACGTCCGACAGAGGGCCGGCGAATTTGGCGGCGATGTCGTGGCGTGAATCCCATGTGCTGAAGCTCGTGCGGCAGAGCTCGCGCCATATCAGGGGCGAATCGGCTGTGAGCTGCTTTATCGGCCTATTGGCTTGCGAGACGGCGATGAGCGAGGGCGCATCGAGGTGTAAGAAGATGGCTTCGAGAATCTCCGTCGGCAGATCTGTAAAGGCTGGACTGACCATGGTCGAAAGACGCGGGCGCGGTAATGGCTCAACGGCTGTATGCGACAGCCTTCAAGTGTATTATGCTCGGCGGCGACAATGCGCCCGGGGCAACAATGTCGTCAGCGACGGCATTTGGGAGATGAACGCATCGCGCTTAGCAATCGCCTGCGTCTTGCCGCGGCACGAGGTAGCTGCGAACCGCATAGATCGTCACAGTACTTCTCATGAACACCAGCTCGCTACTTGCTCAATATGGTATTCACAAATTCGATTTCAGGCTTTTTCCCTCCCATTGCTATTGTTGTATTATTCAGGCAGTCTATGTAATGATCGTTTCACGATTTTATCCTTTACGCCGCTCCTCCGAGTGCTGCATCCCTACACAGGAGCTATCTCTATCGAGTTGACCGTTTTGCCATCCTTTCCTTCTGCTTCGTCGTCTGCTTTCACTTTCCCGTTCTCGCTGCGAAGACTCTCGTTTCCATCCACCTGCACCCTTTTCGCCTTCCCCTTCTCCTGTTGCCACAGGCTCCACGTGCAGTACTCGCCCCAGAGCTGTGCCGCTGTGAAGATGCAGTGCAGGATCGGAATCATGACCTTCATAGTGAGTGTCCACTTATTCCACAATGCTCCATACAGGCCGAAGATAGTTGCCGTCTCGGCCACAGTACCAACGAGCGAGCACCAGAAGGCCACGGAGAAAGAGCGCATGAGCGTCTTCTGTGCGACATCTGGGTCGCGGTAGATGATCATAGTGATGTGCGGTGGCACCTCGACAACAAGATCGTAGAATCCTGGGCCTCATTAGCACATTATCCAAGTGTCCCTCGAACTAGCACCTACCCCAGAACAAGGCCAATACAGCCTCCAACGCAGCATCTGGTTGACCCTTATTCGACGCACTCCAGTACAGCGTCAACTGACCCATGACCAGCACGCCAACATGGTGAGCAACAGCAACAGGACTGATACCCTCCCGGTACGCGAGCTCGTGCGCATACATCACGCTCACGATCATGATGGCGAGGTACAATGCATCACCCATCGTGAACCCATAATCTCGTCGTGAGAAGCCGACGCTGCGACCGAACATAGGCGTGCGGAAGTCGGCATGTCCAGTGGCGACGGCGAAGAAAGGATAGATGGCGAAGAGAAGGACGAAGATCTTGGCCACAAAGGAGAGGTGGTGGTTTACAAAGCCGCGCTTTTGGCGCGGATTGAGAGTTGGCCATGTACGTTTGTAAATCAGCCCTCTGTCTAGGGCGGCTTCAAAGACATATTGTCGGCAGAAAAAGAAGAGTGTGAGAAGCTGAAAGGAATTAGGGAGTGTTCACTGGATATCTGATGTGGTAATGAATCACTCACGACGGCGAAGACCAGACCGGAATGCCTGATCATTGGTGACAGGCTCACGTTTGGAATGTTGGCGAAGCCGGGCAGAGCACCACCGGGAAGTTCACTGTCACCCATTGAGTTCGACATGGTGTTCGAAAGAGATGTGGAAAACGCCACGAAAGTATGTGGGACAGAGACTGTGAAGGGAAAGTGAGTGACTGGAAGGAGTATATGAACTGTCCTTTTACCACGCCCAGCCAATGGACCGAGCCTATCGATCACGAGCTCCGGGTCAATTGCGACTGGGGTTAGCCAGGCTCCTCTTGTGGGTCCGGACCAGTCGTTTCAACACAAGTGTGATGCATCGGGTGAAGTGCTGCAGTGACCAATAATCAATATGTCAAGACCTTCCAGAACACATCACCTTGCCATATCCTAAGGGAAATGAAACAGCATTGTCTGGGGTGCCGATTTCAAAGTTTACAGGTCTCCAAGATATATGCAACAAACCTCACTGTGGAACAACCAGATCGACTTGTAGCAAGTCCGAGTGAGGGCCGGCTACGATGCTCGAGTCTCAAGTGAAACCCAAGGCCTCGAGCTTGTACCGCGCACTTGACACTGGACAGACGTAAAAATCAGAACACGAGGCAGACAACGTGCTACGGTAATTTACAAGGTTGATTCCCCAGATTCCATATTCCCGCTCACGGTCACTGTTGGACAATCGTTGGTAATACTTCGTACTCAGCAGACCCCTGAGCTGATCTAGCGTAGCGTATTTATTCCATTCCTCTCGCTCCAGGCTCCATACCAATAGATTGCATACATACGCGCTACAAATAGCTGGGTGACATCATGATCGGCGAAACAAACCACGCTCATTGACGCTGCAGGTAAAGCCTGGGGTGAGGTTCGAGGCGAGACTTGTTTTCGGAGGTGGTTTGATAAGTGCGTTGTGGAACCGGCCTGCATCTACGGTCCAAAGAGCACATGTAGATTCGTGTCAAAATCGAGTAAAGACCCATGAGCACAATTATCCGGTGCCTCGCTTGCGTTTAGAAGACATCTTAGCGTGCGTCTCCAAAGGGTGTCAGATTTGCCAGGCCCATGAGACGCATGGCTGCCAGCCGACAGTCAGATGCACAGCCCGCGAATTGACTTTCCCCGGACCTTGAAACACCCGTGAACATCGGAGTCTTCACGAAGGATCACGAAACCGGCCAACAAACGTGCCCAGAAAGCTTGTCAATGATAAGCTTCTGTGGTGATCGTCGTCAGTCATTATTTGTTGCAAGCACGAACCCACTATTAACGGTCGTTTCAATAGGTATGTGGCTTGCGCGATTTAACATCTCCGGTCACCAATCATATAGCGTCGGTAACTGCGCCATTTGTGGCTATGCCTGATGCACCAACTCTCGAACGGTCTGCCTCCTGAACACCATTCCTGAACAGGCACATATCGGCGCGGGGCGCAAGTATCCGGGCAGCCTTGGGCATGGGCGAGTGAACGCGATGAGCCGACTTCCGTCCTTATTGCTTAGGCAGGATTGGATTGCTTCGGCATCGTACAGGCCTGGGCGGTGGCTGGTGAGGATTCATGACGAGTGTCCGGATCGGCGTTGCTGCACTCACAGAAATCAATACCGTATTATCTTGCAGTCATTTACTCCTAGGATTCTGTCACATGTGGTCGTTATCAGCATTGCCTCCATTATGTCCGAACGTTGGCAGGTGTTCAGGCTATTCCTGTGCTTATAACGATGGTTGCAGTCCTTGCAATCAGGCCTGAACGCGTGGCAAGTGAGTCGTCAAAGAAGAAAGAGCGGCACCCCAAGGCTATCAGGGCGTGAAGAACGCCACCTATTCATGAACATAACGCCCTCGGTGACGCCATACAAAGAGGCAAGCTCTCACAGACGAAACTCGGATCCATCAATAGGCGTAATGAGCGGGGAAGGGCCTCCAAAGGAGACATGCAGTCGGGTAAGGAGAGCGTGCAATCGCTGTCGTCTTAAAAAAGTCAAGTGCGACGGTCACATTCCATGCGCGAGGTGCGAACAGGACCATGCTACCTGCAAGATCAACTACGACGCTACGTGCATCAAGGATCTGAGAAAGAAGTATGCTCGGTCCCCTCCTGTCGCAGGCAAGATGTCACTGACCTTTCCGCGTGCAGCTATATTGCAAATCTGGAAGAGCAACAGATCTCTCTACTCGGGGCTCTGAGAGACCTCCACCGAAAGTTGCCGCTCAACATCGATGTATGCGACACGGTAGAGCAGTTACAACGGGAAGGCTTCGACATCGAATCAGTGAGATTCAAAGACCCGCACCGAGACTCGCAGAAGGATGAGAGCTTTCATGAAAGCGTCAGTCCCAAGACAGCACCTCAGCTCAACCCTTGGGAACCTGAACAGCTGACCATGGACTATCTCCAATCACTTCTTGAGCAGCCAGCCACGCCTCCAAATTTGACATGGCACTGCGGCGACACCACACGAATTGAGGCTCAGCATCACCCACAGCCAACACGATGGGATTCTGCTGGTAGCGTCTTCGGTACGACAGTCCCACAGAATATCCACTCTATCGTCGATCCACTATCAGGACGCTTCATCAACCTATCCACAGCGTCTTTCGGGGCAGGAGACTTGAACATGATTCTGAGTTGACTGGTGTCGACAATGCGTAGGCTGCATGTACACGTTTGAACTTAAAGAAGCGCTGCAGAAGGGTGGAAATCGATCAGTGTGGAGTGCAATAAGACGTACATCATAATATTAGCAAACAACTTCATATATGTTGCGGCAGACGTAGTCGCTGTATGTATCAATGGAAAACTGCGCTGAGTTGCTTGCTAGCTAGGAGGCGACCATATATACATGTCCTGAGACTTGCTAGTCCAATGTAGTCAACCGAGGTGACGATCAAGGCTATAGGACCGACTTGAACCGCAACAATATAACATTGGGGAACCCTGCACGTCGGCACTCACAACATAAGCCACTTTTCAGAATCCACAGCCGAGTCCTCGCCGTGACTGGAGGCGGCTTAGTTGTAAGGAGCAGTGAAGCTGCCAGTGAGCACACATGGCAAAAAACTCCAATCTCTCAATCTGCTCACGCATTTGACGACGCTTTCGTTGCGGTTAGTGCGCAGGTACCTCTCTCTACGCTCTAACCGCTGTCTATATGCTCTGTTGCTTCTAGCACGTTCATCCTCCTTACCAGGTAAGCTCTCCTACTAGCAGGCAGGGACTCTTGCTTATCAGCTGGGGTCTGCAAGATTCTTGGATAAATGTAGGAGTCGTTAAAACAGGTTAGAGGACGACTGAAGACACTGAGCGCAGCTCAGTCTTGCTACTTGATGCCATCAGGAGCAAGACCCCAAGTTACGGATGTCATAGATTGGGAACTGTGGAAGCTGAGCAGTCTCTGATCGTTGATCAAGTGTGAAGAAAGTGATCAAGTTCCTTGTTCTATCTACGGTGCTGAATGAGCAGAATATATACACCAATACTCACCCAGCTATACCCTAATCGGAGTCCTAATCACGGCTCCAAGCTGTACCCGATTCCGCTCACCATGGCGTGATGGATCGCCAGTGTCTGATCGGTCCAATATCCCGATGCGGATCACGTGATATGCACCCTCACCTCGATCCTTGCTGCAACAGGAACAAATACCTGAAGCATGCATCAGACATGTGTGATCAGTGAAGCTGCCAACGAGAACACATAGCAGGACGCTCCAACTATCAAAGACACTCGGCCACGCTCACAAATCTGCTACTTGACGCAAACACATGGAGTAAGACATGAAGCTACGGGTTTTGATAGAATGGGAACAAGCGCACAAATTGTGTGTCGAGAATCATTCTGACGTTGCTCAATTCTCATCGTACGGTACGATAATGGCATAATCGAAGCGCCTTGCGAGACTGGCAAAAGGTATCAAATGATAACATATACAGCCCTCTAAGTGATGTGCGCAAAGTTGAAGCCCATGCATTACCAGCGCAAGAAGGCACATCTGTACAAGCTTTCACACTATGGCAACTGTTCACTACAATTCGCTATACCACATGCGATTCAATCCAAGCTCAGGCCTCATCAGCCTTTTACACTACGCCCAACGCCCAGCAATGCAAACAAAGGTCCATATCTCATCACCTCCCTTGATCATCTGCGACTGCACTTAGAATTGTAACAGCTTCTGCGTAGCGCCCTTGCCCTTCTCCAGTCCCTCGATGTCGTTGCGGGCAAAGCTGCACCACGTATCCTTGATGCTAACAACTTCATACGTGCCCTCTTCCTGAATGGGAATACGCATGCTCATCTCATGGCTGACCTCAGTGCGAATCTCGAGAACTTTGCTCTTCTTTCCCCTTGCAGCGTTGGTGCTGCGCGTATACGTGAACTCGAACGGCGGGGTGCCCCAGAACTGGAAGTCAAGGTCGGTGCCGCCGCCTTCATGGATATCGATCTCGTCCACGCGACCACCTGAAAGGCGGACTGAGGGAATGGGGTGGATCCGCTTAGTGAGATCCAGAGACGCGAGACATTCGGATGCGGAATCGCGCAGACCGGTGATGGTGAAGGTACCGGGAAGCTCAGCGAGGCGGCGGAAGGTGGTGCCGGCGTTGGATGCCTTACGCTCTTGACCCTCGAAGGTGTAGTAGACGGTGAACGGAACCTGGCCGCCAAGTGCGAATGAGAGGCGCTCGCCGACACAATAGTTTGTGCGGTCCTCAAGAGGAGTGGCAGCGGGGGCATCGTGCACGCTGATCTGTACACGAGGACCACCAAGAGCAGGTTTGAGGGTGCAGCCTCGCGAGTCGCGAACCTTGCGGATCGATATGGATGAATGTCCGAGATGCAGCTTGCGGTGCTCGATCTTGAGGTCGTACTTGTTGGTCGGGATGTTCTTATGGATGCTGATCTCCGGCTTGGGCGTGCCGTGATGCTTGATTTCCACCTCCAGGTAGAAAGGCGCGACACCCTCAAGCGAGATCGGAATGACTTCTTCACCTTCCGACTCCCTAGAGCAGTAGCTGTAAGTTTTCCCTGGCTTGTCGAAGCGGGCACTTGGACGCGGGTGAACGGTCTGCTTGATGCTGACTGGCGGGAAGTGGTTGTTAGAGTGATCGTATCTAGAGTCGGACAGCTTTTTGAAGGTGTATTCGTAGGTGCCAGCTTGAGCAGTCTCCGATCGGATCGACGCCTGACCACCTGCGACATGTAGGTCCTTATTTCTGACGGAGATGAGCTTGCCCTTGGGATCATTCTGCTGGGTCTGGTATGAGACGTCGAATGGAGCATTTCCTGTGTTCAATTAGTGACATGAAGCCGGTGTACACCTTGAGCTGAACTTACCATGAAGAGAAACCTCCAGCGCATCTTCGTCTCCTTCACAGACCGGCTCCTTAACATACTTGCTGCCGTCGAAAGCGATAACGTCAGACTCAGAAACCGTAAGCTTCGGCCGGGCGACCCATTGTACCAAAAACTGGTCAGCCTTCTCTTCAATCAGTCCAGGGCACACAGCGTCCTTGACCGAGAGGAGGTGGTAAGTGCCATCTGTCTTGGCATCCAGGAGCGCATTTGCGTTGTTGAAAGTTCCCCTCCTGACGTCTTTGGTTTCTAAAACCTCATACTCCAGCCTCCAAGGGGCATTTCCGGTGAAGCGAAGAGGCAGACCGATACTTCTGCCCTCAAGTGCCATGATTGTTTGCTTGCCTTCGATATGACCGAAGTAAGCCTTGGGTCGCTCGTGGCGTACATTGACCTTGGCCTCCTCCTTCAGATACTCTTTGCAACCCATCTTGTCACTGATGCTCGCCAGGGTTACGATGTACTCGCCGCCGCTGCGGAGCTTGTCAGTCCTGATGGTGTAGTACTCTTCGGCTGTCTCAACGGTACGCTTGACGCGCTTGCCATTGTGCACAACTTCGTACTCCAGCTTCCAGGGTGCTTCTCCTGACAACTTCACATCGAAGTCGACCGAATCGTCAATGCAGACATGCCTAGGCTTCCTATCCACGAAAAATGCCTTTGCAGACGGTCTGACATTCTGTTGCAGCTCAAAGTTTCTCAGAGGTGTGTCTTTGTAGACTGAATCGCGGATGCTCTCGAAGGTGTACTTGTAGTGGCCTGCGTCTTGGGGAGTGAAATCAGCTGTGCTTCGAAGCGTAGGGATATTCAGCTCCTTCGCGATCTTTCGACGGTTGTTGCTGTTGTGCTCAGTGTACTTGATCACGAAAGGTGGACTACCAATAAGATCTATTCCCACGCGCAGACCAATGGGGTTGCCAGCACATCTATCCACGATGTCTTCGCTTGTCAGAGAGAGCCCCGGTTCAGGCGGGTTCTGAAGCAGGCATGAGGCTGGCTCCAGCACCTCTCCTTCGCAAGTATCAGTGGACACAGCCTTGATTGTATATAGACCGGCTTCAGATATTAGCGGTTGTTCCCGAACGTTTCGCATTGTCTGCTTCTTCGATACAGCATTTGGGCTCTGGTACCCGTCCGTGACGATTTCAGTCTCGGGTGTGAAGAGATACTCGATGGTGTGCTGTCCGTCAATGGCTTGCTTGCCTGTTGAGCCGTAGTGGACTGGTAGACGAGCAACCTCGCCCTTTGCCACTCTCAGTGGCTTTGAAGGATCGCAGCCTCTAAGGTATGCCTTCGGTCGTTCTTGGACATCGAATGACTGGCGGAGTCCAGCGAATTTGGCCTTCGGCCGCTCATCGTCATCAACATCCCTGAAGTTGACGACATTGCCTAAGCCGTCTCGCACCTCTATAACCTCATACTCCCATCGACCACTAGTTGACAGTGTCTCATTGAGGGGGACGGAAACTTTCTGCGAGCGTGCCCACGAAACGTCCTCACGGCCGTGCTTGACCAAGGCTTGCGAGGTGTGTCGTGTCAAGGGCGAGACAGCGTCCTCGGGTTGAAGGCCGTGGAACTCTGAGACGCCTCGCGGTTTGCCGTTCACTGATAGCTGGTATTTGATGTTGAGTGGCGGAGTTCCCTCAGCTTCGAGCCTGACGTTGGAAAGATCGTTACGGCAGCGCTTGTCGCCGGTAGGCTTGACTCGGGCCTGTGGGCAGGAAGCAACTATCACGCTAGCTGCGCGCGGCCGCACTTGAAGCTTGGAATGATCTGTGACCTTGCTGAGCAAGTACACACCCGGCTTCTTCACAGTGTATCGTATTGTCAAAGGGTCGTCTGGGTGCGCAGATCGTGTGAACTTTCGTGCCTTCTTCAGCATCTTGCCGAGCTCGTTCTTCTGTATGGTTATTGTCTCATTGGCGTTAGTATCGAAGTCAATGCGCAGTAGCTGCATCTCAATCGGCTCGGTCTGGTTGATCATGATGGGGATCTCGAGGTAGGTGACGGTCGAGTTCAGGCAGAAGGACTCTTTGTTCGGGTTCAGGATGGCGGATCCCTCTGGTAGGATGTTGACTATCTGCTTTCCCAGGATAAGTGAGGCGTTGTGCAGGATGGAGCCTGGCTTGACGCTGCGCTCGCTGATGGCAAGCTCGCTGTCCCATAGGAAGCCGACCAAGCCGACTGCCCAGGCCTGGACTGGTATGCCGATGCGAAACATGAGCATGACGTCAAGCGCGGCGTGTGTCACGAAGAGCAAGAAGGCAGCGCCGTTGCTCCACTCCAACCAGGGAATCTCCAGCAGCGGCACGCCGAACATGAAGATCATGTCGAAGAAGCACCATTTGAGACAGAGCCACAGCGACTCGTCCTCCTCGACGGCGAGTGTGTAGAAGTCATACGATCGGTAGGCCCAAAGGGCGATGTAGACGGCGAAGAGGTAGAAGCGCTGCTGCGCGGGATCGAGGATGTCGGCTGGAATGACAGGCCCCGAGTGTGGCGGTGCAGCTCGAGGCACATCTTGTATGGGCGACCGCACGTTTGGCCTGGAAGGTGTGGAGGCAGGTGTGGAGGTATTGGGGCTGCGCGCGCCAGGCGAGCGATTCCATGGCTGCTGTGGAGTTGCAGGAAACCCGCCAGGCCCTCTGCGCGCGGGTGTTGCGCCGTTCATCGTGCCCAAGGATTGAGGCTTGCGGAGCCTTATGCGATCATGGGCAGAGAAGTACCGACGGTGATCTGGCTGCGCAGCCTTGTTGGTCGGCGTGCTGAGGGGCGCGGTGTTGTGCTTTGCTTGCATCCACAACTTCGTAAACATTTGGCAGGCGCGATGGACGCTAGCAGGGGCCTGAGCAGCGCAAGCCTGCAAGCCTGCAATGACGGCCAGCCGGCAATAACCTTCACCTGTCCTGCGAAAAAGCAGATAGTAGTCAACAAACAACGAGGTCGCATTCACTCAGACGCGTAGGTCGGGCAACACATCTCATATCAAGGTCTCACTCCGCGTCCAGGAACGTTGAGCTATCAAAATAAGAGGGCGCCTTCACGCCGTCACCATGCAGACCTCGCGATGGGCGCAAGCAGATCACACGCACCGTCGCAAAACTCTACGCAAAGCTCCATCCGGCAGAGGTAACGTACAGAACATGGATTTTGTACGCAATCGGCGTCATGGATATGCTTCACGCGATTGGATGTTTTTGGTGTTGCTAGCGCGGCGCGTCTTCTGAACCGTTCATTCATCCGAAGTGCTGCCCTGGACTTTGCTTTCATCGACTTAAACGCTGTAGCTCTGCCACCTACTAACATCCACTCAGTCTATTTGCAGGCCCGCCACAGCAACCAACTGCACCTGAACTCAAAACCAGCTTCGTCATGACAGTGTGCAAATTCTATTCGCAAGGCAACTGCCGATTCGGGGGTAATTATTTTCGGCTTCACTCATGATCACGTGCCTGACGTGACTTAGACAATTGCAAATTTGAACATCCTGGCAGCCAGCGAGATGGCAATCGAGGTGGTGGCGGAGGTTTCGGCGGTCGCTCGAACAACAACGGTAACAACCGCTTTGGCGCTCTTGGCGGCGACAGCTACCGTCCCAACCAAAACTCGGGTGGACCGTTTGGAGGTGAGTCTTGAAACGATGGGGTGGACATGTTGCGTGCACGACCTGATTGCTATACAATAAAGATGGCTGATGAAGACAGCCACGCGTGATAGCAAGTCTCTACCCTACCACCTAGACATCGCGGACATCAAAGCAGATCTATCTGGACAGCGGCCGATCTACCCACTGTCGTGCTACGGTCCTGGCCGTGATGCTCCACGGCAGCTCATTGAAGGTCCAGTCGAGATCAGCCCAGAAGAGCTCCGCGTGCGGTACTACACTGCACGAGCTGCAGGGCAGGAAAATGTTGCAGTAAGTGCGGCCTAAATGATGATAGAACAAGGCTGATGAAGTGCAGCAACAAGAAGAGGCCGAACTCCATGCAAAAATGCAGCAGCAGGTCAAAGCAATCACGGATGACGTGGAGGGTGCCGTTCGATATATTGAGGAAGGTGCCAACGTGCATCCAAATAGACTGGACATGATCAAAGGAGCTGCCGCACAGCCAGGCTCAGGCTCGAGTCCATTCGCACAAGTATCCAACAATTCATTGTCCTCAGGACCAGCGACACAAGGATCATCTTTCGGGCAGCCATCAAGACCAGGCTTTGGCCAGCCAGCCTTTGGTCAGGCTTCCAATCCTGCTCAGACCACATCAGCTTTCGGGCAACCATCGAACTCCGGACAGACCACATCAGCATTCGGCGCATCCTCAGCACTAGGCCAGAAGCCATCGCCCTTTGGCCAACCCTCAACACTAGGAGGTGGAAGCTCTTTCGGCAAGCCTGCTTTTGGTGCTTCAGGCTTTGGTCAGACAGCTGCGCCAGTCGCTGGGAGCGCTTTTGGGCAGCCCATCGGTCTTGGTGCGCAAACACAGTCACCATTTGGACAGGCTGTCGGAGCCAACAAGCCGGCATTTGGGCAAGCATCAGCTCCCGGTGGAACACCTGCTTTCGGACAGGCTTCTGCACCAACTCAAGGGTCCGCTTTTGGTCAGGCCAGCGGTCCAGGGCAACCACAGCAATTGAGTGCGTTTGGCAAGCCTGCATTTGGGCAGAGTCCATTTGGGCAAGCAGCGCAACCTGGTGCAAATCAGTCACCATTCGGCCAGCAGCCACAGGCCAACCAGTCACCCTTCGGTCAACAGCCTGCGCCAAACGCACCGTCTCCGTTCGGTCAGGTGGCCTCAAAAGCCCAACAGCCAAATAGTTTCGGCCAACCACAGTCTCAACCAGGGGCGGCACAATCCAACCCCTTTGGCGGCGCTGCAGGATCAGCAGCAGCTCCTGCCTTTGGCAAGCCGAGCGCGCTTGCCTTTGGAGCACCTAGTCTTGGTGGCCAGCAAGCGCCAGCTCCGAGCACACAACCACAGAACCCATTCGGTCAGGCAGCGCAACCTGCCCAAGCTCCTGCGGCGAACCAGTCGCCTTTCGGCGGTCAGACTCAAGCAGCTCCAGCAATGGCGCAAGCACAGTCCCAGCCAGCGCAGGCATCCGGGCCAATTGATCCCAAGGACAGTTACAAAGAAGGAAGCCCAGCAGAGTACGAGGGCGAAACAGGCAGGCTGCTTGAGGAGATCTACAGGAGAGTTGGGCAGATGGGTCGTTTTAACGATGATGAGGATATACCTCTCACTCCCCCGAAGTGTGAATGGATCGTACCCGTCGCGATCTGAGAGCTGGTCTTTGACGTTCAATTGTGAGCAATGTAGGATAGAATGTTGCTGCCTGACCGGGCCGCATCGAGCCGCAGGCATGAGAGGATATCATGATTTCACCCTTAATAGTCAAGTTTACTTCGGTTGTGCCAGTAATCTGAGTACATCCAGACTGAGCTTTGGACTCATTACGATAATAACGCTCTTCGCGCGCTGTGTTTGTTCCAATCTTGGCGGCAAAGCATTCGCTAAATGTTCATTCTCCTTCCATGATCCCCTGCAATGCTCTCGCGAAGAACGAAGATGGACCCATACTTCTGGCAGTATTGAGGTACTCTTCTTGTACGGCACTGGTGTACGTCACCTTCGAGGCGCAGAGACACACTGGGTCCGTTCGGCGTTTGTGACGCGTCAACGTCATCCGCCGACGACTTCCGCAGCAACCCACGAAACTTTTGGTCCCGCGTCGAATCTGACAGGATGCTCGCTGCGCACCTGCAGCATGCGTCGACGGCGATCTGACGAGCTCCCTCGGTACGCGAGCGACAACGACTCGTCGCCCTTCCGCTTCCACCGCCGCTACGCCTACTACCTACTCGGCTTTCTCCTCGTCTGCTGGTTCCTGTACCCGTCATCAAGTCGAGCGTCCACGAAAGACGCAACGAACTGGAACAACTTCGCATACAGTCTCTACGCAACCGACAGCGCGACGCTCTGCCATGCGCTCCTTGTTTTCGATGCGCTGGCTCGATTCGGCAGCAAGGCGGATCGCGTTCTGTTCTTCCCCGAGCACTGGGATACGGAGGTGACGAGCGCGAAAGACCGCGACAGTCAGCTGCTCGTCCTTGCGCGCGACAAGTACGGCGTCAAGTTGCACCCCGTGCGGCTTCTGAGCGTCGAGAGTCGCACCAAAGGTACGCATCGCCGGGCAGATAAGTCACACTTGAAGCAAGGTGTGCGGGAATGGACAAGGTTGATGACAATCATGCGCAGACGAATGGACAAGGACATGGGACAGATCGGTTACGAAGTTCATGGCTTTCTCGCTCGCGTACTACGACCGCGTCATCGCGATGGACTCGGACGTCACGCTCCTAAAGCCCCTCGATGAGCTCTTCCTCCTCCCGGGCACGCCCATGGCTATGCCCCGCGCATACTGGGCTGACAGCAAGCCCTGGCCGCTCACGTCGATGCTGATGGTCATCAAACCTGATGTGGACGAGTTTGAGCGGTTCAAGAAGACAATCGGAGGGGCCAATGACGAGGTTGTTAGTGTGCATAAGTTCGATATGGAGCTTGTAAACGAGCGGTTTGAGGACAGTGCGCTGGTGCTTCCCCACCGCCCGTATGCGCTGCTGAGCGGCGAGTTCAGGAAGCACGAGCACAGCGCATATCTGGGCAACAGCTTCGAGGCGTGGGACGCAGAGAAGGTCTACAGCGAGGCGAAGCTGGTTCATTTCAGCGACTGGCCGCTGCCCAAACCGTGGATCATGTGGCCCACGAAGGGCCTGGAGGAGATGCAGCCCGACTGCGGCGGGAGCCATGTCGGCAGCTGCGCCGAGAGGAAGATCTGGAAGCACCTGTACGAGGACTTCAGGATGCGAAGACGCAATGTATGTAGACTGCTTAGTGTGCCTGCGCCGGACTGGTGGACCATCAAGCATGGCACGCGACCTGGGAATGCCACAGACGGTACCGAGCATGCTGCGCCTCCAGCTGAGGGAGCTATTCTCAGCCAACTTTGAATCAAGCGGTGCATGTACTACACGGATGGACATATGAAAGCGGGTTCCTGCGTATTATTCGACATGATCTCGAGATATTGACGTGCTACCTATGTCAATAATACCGGGATCTATCGCTGCCCATCAAGAAGTCCAGCATCCTTACCGCAGTACCATCCCGCAGTGGTCCGCGGTCCGAATATATGCTTTCGCCATCACGCGCAAGAATCAATCTGAAACATCGCCATCTGAGCGGCTTGTCCATAGCCTGCAGAGGCACGTCATTCTGACACTATTGTTTGTTCACCACTTCCAGCCATACTCGATGAGGACCAAGGCGGCTGAGAGATGTCAGTTAAGCCTCCGCACAGTGTAGCAGCTGACTTGAGCAAGTTAGGCTCTGTAATATATTGGACGAGATTGCAGTCAGCCTTCGTTATGGAGAGCTGTGCATGTGTATGCCTGTCGAACCGTGACAATGGTATGTAGAGTTTGATGAGACATGTCACTACTGAAGGCTCTCGGCACATCCTTCGCGGACAGCAGCCCGCGTTGGATCTCCACAAGCGAAGCGACGCCTTCCCCCTTGGTGCAGCCTTCCTTCCTTCCCTCGGAGCTCTGCTGGGGTGCCTTCAAGAAATCTCCGGCTTCAATGTCGGCTAAACGCGAATTCATTCTTTGACTCCCGCATTCTTCGTGCACTGAACCCCCCCCAGCCTGGCTGATACCGCCAGCTGAACAAGACATGCCAGGTGACGGGCTACCAGCCCGCCTGCATATACGCACCAAAACAATCGTCGACGACCTGTTGCAAGGCGCGTGTAACCTTGCACACAGCACGCACATCCTGGGGTGACAGCCGTTCGTCTTAGCGCGTCGACTGATCGACGGCTGGCTGCTGGCTGCTGGAGACGAGCTGCGCGCACAGACCAGGCATGACAATGCGGTCCAATGTGCAGGGCCGATGGTCCCCGATGTTGGGGTTGCAGTGGCGGGCTCACGAGAAGGATTGCCATCATATGGTATGGTTGTTATTTTCGCGTCGGCGCGGGGAAAGCAACATCTCGACGCCTCAGTGCGCATCGACTGGTAAGCATGCAATGGCATGGTTGCAGCAAACGAGAGCCTCCTCCTGCTAAGTGCAGCAAGGCTTAGCTTGCTGACCTATCTCAGCACAGCGACCACCGCTAGTGAAGTGAACCCGGCGCGGCGCGGTTGCTAGTCCCCCGGTTTAGCCCAGTCAATTCACTGCCCTGCTGGGCACTAATTGCCCCCGGATTGATATAGCTTCCTTTATCTACTGTTGATCCCTTGCACAACCGCGATTGTTTCATTGTTTCGTTGTTTTCACCTTCAACCTTGAACTACCTATGTTTTGATCTTCTGCTAGTTCAACATATACACAAGCGAACAACTGCACCACACTCCTTACCATGCGCGACTTTCTTCTAGCCTCCGTGGCTACAGCTTCCGTTCTGTTCGCCAGGAATGCTGAAGCTGTTGCCGCCAACCCACTTCCCAAACCTTCCAACATTACCTGGGGCAATGCTGGATGCTTCTCCGTAGGATCCTTGACCCTGTCAGGCCCGGAGCATGCAGTCTTGCAGCAGGCTTTCGACCGTACCACTGGCACCATCACCGAGCTCAAGTGGACTCCGCAAGCGACCGAAGCCCCGATCCGCGAATTTGAACCGTTTCCAACACAGACTGCCTCCAAGAAGTCGCGGAGAAAGAGACAGTACGGCGTGCCCCCTACCGGCAACTGCACAGGACGTGTTACAACTGTCAATGTTGAGATTACCAACACACACGCCGCTCTGCAGCATGGCGTCGACGAATCCTACACACTGAACATCCCCGCAGGATCTCAATCTATCGATATCTCCGCGGGTACCGTCTACGGCGCACTTCATGCTTTCACCACCCTTCAGCAGATGGTCATCAACGACGGCAAGGGCAACTTGATCGTTGAGCAGCCGGTGTCTATCCAAGATGCCCCTCTCTACCCGGTGCGTGGTATCATGATCGACACTGGCCGCAACTACATTTCCAAGAAGAAGATCTACGAGCAGATCGATGGTATGGCCTTGTCAAAGCTGAACGTTCTGCACTGGCACATTGTCGACTCCCAATCTTGGCCTCTCGAGGTTTCTGCCTACCCCGAAATGACCAAGGATGCTTACTCGCCCAACGAGGTCTTTTCTCAGGACAGTCTTAAGGAGATCATCAGCTATGCTGCAGCTCGCGGTGTCCGCATCATCCCGGAGATTGATATGCCCGGCCATGCCAGCTCTGGGTGGGGCCAGATCGACCAGGACCTGCTAACTTGCCAGGACACTTGGTGGTCTAACGACGACTGGTCGCTGCACACTGCTGTTGAGCCAAACCCCGGTCAGCTTGATATCTTGAACAACAAGACTTACGAGGTCACTGGAAAGGTGTACAAGGAGATGGCGGACATTTTCCCCGATGACTGGTTCCACATTGGAGGTGACGAGTTGTTCCTCAACTGCAACAACTTCAGCTCCCGCGCCGTCGAGTTCTTCGACTCTGGCAAGACAATGGGAGACCTGTATCAGTACTGGCTCGACCGCGCTATTCCCAACTTCCGCAAGCAGGCCAACAAGACGTTCGTCATGTGGGAGGATGTGAAGCTTTCCTCGGCTGTGGCTGCTACCGGCGTAGTCCCCACAGACATCATCATGCAGGCTTGGAACAACGGTCTGACCCACATCGCCAACTTGACAGCCCTCGGCTACAAAGTGATTGTCTCCTCTTCTGACTTCATGTACCTCGATTGCGGGTACGGTGGCTGGGTAGGCAACGACCCTCGCTATAACGTCATGGTCAACCCCAATGCCACGGACGGATCGCCCAACTTCAACTGGGGTGCTGGCGGAGGATCCTGGTGCGCACCCTACAAGACATGGCAGCGCATCTATGATTACGACTTCACGTTCAACCTCACCGACGCACAGAAGTCCCTCATTCAGGGCGCCATTGCGCCGCTATGGTCCGAGCAGGTCGACGATGTAATCATCAGCCAGAAAATGTGGCCCCGTGCCGCAGCACTTGCCGAGCTGGTATGGTCAGGCAACCGAGACGTGAACGGCAACAAGAGGACCACGGAGCTGACGCAGCGCATCTTGAACTTCCGCGAGTACCTCGTTGCCAATGGTGTCCAGGCTGCCCCGCTGATGCCAAAGTACTGTCTTCAACACCCGCATGCGTGTGACTTGTACCAAAACCAGACGACGCTTTGGGAGAACCCTGTGTAATGATTTCACGTTGAGCACTTGCTTGTATGACTGCAGCGTTTTCTCTTCTTCTTCGCGGCAGAATCGAGGGTGGTAGATCGGCAGCCCTTGGAGGCTGAGCGATGACCCTCGAGCTTCGAGTGTCCCCATAAGCTTAGCATACGAAGGCGAATACGAAGCTCTGACGTCGCCTTGCCATTGTGCATCTGCGTGCTTTTCACGATCTATGGGAGAGGCTGGAGAGTCATGGATGGGCGAGTCGTGCTTCGCTAATGCAGCCTATGAATCGACGTGCCCGCCGCGGCCCAGGAGCTTTGACTGCCGTGCTCGCAGCGCAGCACTTTGCCTCCCATGCGTACCTCTCATCCTGCGAAGCACCACTAGAGCCGTTCAGGCACGCAACTGTAAGTCGTCCATCTCTCCTACACCGAATATTGCAACGTACCTGCCGCGATCTGGACAAATACGCACGATGCTTGCGCTCACCACGTCTCCACCATGGCACCGCGACTGCTACCTGGCTAGCCGCTGGAGAAGCACATGGCGTCATGCTGACTAACCATTTACAGCGGCTGCAGGCGCCTTCTCCTCGCAGCCATGCCTGCGATGCTCGAAGACCCGACCGCCCCGGCCGTGATCCACACGTCTGCTCGTGGCCCGCACCTTGCGCCGGGCGGTCCGCTACCAGTCGGCATTGCTCCCAGCCAGGTGACGCTGCGCGACCGCGTCACGACGGCGACCATCATCCCCTTCTCTGCGCCGAACCAAGTCCCGCTCACCCTGCTGGCGTACCTCTGCGACCAACTGGGCCGCGAGATAGAAAAGGGCGATACGTACCCCATGGTCGACCCGCTGCCGCTGGACAGCTTTGGGCCCTACTGGTTCGGCGTCTTTGGCGCCATCATGCTGCTAGGCGAGATCCAGGACGGCCGCGAACTGCACGACATGGCGCGACGGGGCTGCGACTGGGAGCGCGAGTGTCTGGGCAGCTTCTACATCAAGCCGAACTACCCGGGCCGCTCGAGTCACGTCTGCAACGGCGGCTTCTTGGTCACTGACGCGTCGCGGAACCGGGGCGTGGGAAGGCTGATGGGCGAGACATACCTTGACTGGGCCCCGAAGCTGGGCTATACCTACTCGGTCTTCAACCTGGTGTATGAGACCAACCTGGCGTCGTGTCGAATATGGGATGCTCTAGGGTTCAAGCGCATCGGTCGTGTGAAGGAGTGCGGCAATCTAAAGTCTCACCCAGGCGAGCTGATCGATGCCATCATCTACGGCCGTGACCTCGGTCAGGACGCCGACTTCGTTTCCGAAGAGCGCTTCGACAAGATACGCTTCTACCTCAAGAACGAGAAGTATCCCAACGGCGCCGACCGCGCCGAAAAGAGCCGTCTCCGCAGCGCAGCAACGCACTACAAACTAACACCGGCCACGGACGACGAGCCCGAGAAGCTCTGGCTCAAAGGCAAGGAAGTCATATCAGATGCTCAGCGACAGTACGAGATCGCGCGCGACGTGCACCACAAGTCGCACGGCGGCATCAATAAAACCACAGCCGCAATCGCAGAGTCCTACCACTGGGTCCGCATCAAAGAGACCGTGTCGCAGGTGATCCGCAACTGTCCCGAGTGCAGCGAGATGAACAAGGGGATCTCAGCCATGCGGGCGATTCAGACTCGACCGTCACAGCAGTCCAGCGGCCACCAGCAGCAGTACTCGCCACCCTCGAGCGATCAGCTCCCCCAGGCCATGTCACATCTTCCGCAGCACCAAAACACCCGCGCAGACTCACCGAGCTACCAACTCCAGCTCGAATCCCAGCCGCAGCAGCGTCCTCAGTCTGCATATCCTTCGTACGGGACCGATGCATACGACATGCCCCTCGACCCAGCGCTGATGCAGGGCGTTCAGCACCTCGCAGACCTGCCCCCGAGCCCGTTTCTCGCAGCGCAAGGCGGGAGCAGGGCCGCGCAGTCTGGTCATGACGTAGCCTTGCCCGACGCGCCGCAGGACGGGTACGCGCGCACGGCAAGTAATGCATCTAGCGGCTCCTACACAAACACTGGAGGCCCGCAGCGACGAGCGCCGAGCGCAAGGACCGAGATGAGGAGACGCCTGGAGCGGGTTGCGAGGTACGGACGTCGGGACGCCGGGACATGAAGGCGGGTCAATTACGATATGGAATCTAACTCGAGCCAGTGACAGGTCCACGACGGCTATGCGGTTGAAGTACGGTGCGTTCTGGGAGGGCGTACTGTAGACAGCTCACCGCACGCGCTCAGTGTCGTGCCATGGCAGGGGACAGCCAGGGATATCTTGCCGAACAAGCTGACATGGCTGTCTGCCACCTACCAGTATGCTGATATTGCATCTTTCGCGAACACATAACTTTGGAGAACGAGGACGACATGATCGCGTGCAGAGGTGTCAGAGTCGACAAGTCGGTATCCTCCGTTTCTCGCAAATCTCGGAACATCAACTTGGAAGCATGTTTGTCGGAAACAACGGAAAGTTTTGAGCCTATCTGTTCTGCCCATATACCCAAGTTGCAGATATGCAGTACGTATACATACACGATACCAAATCATGATACGCAAGACCACATTTACTTCGCCATATGTCAATCCACCTTCGCCACCTGTGAAGCCGACACCACACCTTCCTCCGGCCTGTTCACATCAAGCGCCGTCTTCAACTGCCTCAAGTACGTGCCGAATTCGCCAAAGCTGCTGTAGTCCCAAGACCGCGTCGCAGTCGAGATGTCGCTCGCCACAGAGTGGAGGTTGTCGTACCTCCTCTTGACGGTAATGTACGTCTTGCGGATGTCGGCAAGTCGGAGCTCGGCGTGCGATGCCGATGTTGACTGCAAGGGCGAGGGCGAGGGCGCCGGAGAGTCACTTCTGGGCGGAGGTGTTCGGTTGGTGGTGATTCTGAGCGCGGCGCTTTCGGCCCTGAGGTCGCTGACTTCGCGCTGAAGGTCCTGGATTTGCTGTGAGAGCTGCTGCATCTCAGCTGACATCTCTGCCGCTTTGTGTGCTGATAGCTGGTCCTTGTCCTCCAGCCCACGCGTCAGGTCGGCGTTGGTATCTTGCTCCTCGTCGTACAGTCTCTCGTATTCGTCGCGCTGCTGGATCAGATCTGCTTCGCCTTTCAAACAGCTGCGGGCTGCCTCCATCTCCCGGCGTAGGTGATCGCATTCCCAGCTGAGGTCGCTTGATCGCCGCTTCTTGATCTCGAGTTCTTCCTCGCGATCTGCCATCTGCCCGTCGCTTGAGATACTTTGTCGGCGTTGCAGGTCGAGCGCTTGTCGTTCGGCATCTTGTTTGATTTGCTTTACCTTTGCTTCGAATGCATTCAGTTGCAGGCGGAGGCATTCCAATTCCCTTTCGTGTGACACCTTCACGCGCACAAGCTCGTTCTCGAGACGACTGCTGTGAGTAGATGTTGGTATCGGTGTAGGCATAGGCATTGGCTTCAGATCATCTTCGCTGCCCGGAGAATCAATCTTTAGCATTTGCCGAGGTGGTGTCAACGTGTCCATAGGAAACTGTCTAGGCAGATCGCGATCTTCACCTTCACTGCCAGAGATGACAATTGCACCAGTTACACTCGCGCCTCTACCATTAACCCTCTTGCCGCTGTTCGCTTTGGGTATAGCCTTCTGGATCTTCGACGCGCGCTCAATCTTGGTGGCTGCGGGCGGGCTGCGCTTCTTCGTAGTCACGACGCCCAACTTCCCCTTAGGTCTCGCCTTAGCTAGAGCTTTCTTCGGCGGCCTCCCTCCTACTTTACTCATTACCATGTTTGTACTCTGCAAGTGTGATATCTTCGAATCTTCTTTGATAGGTATCTCTTCTTCTTCGTCTTGGTCTTCTTCTTCAATAGATAGGAGAAGGTGACCTTCGCTTTCAATACTTCGATCTTTTGCACCCTGCTCTTTAGAAGCACTCGTCCTGACCGGCGAGAACCCCAGACTTTGGTAGACCCTCTCAAGGTTGAAGAGTAAGTTGTTCGATAGATCGAAGTTACTGAGGCGTTGGAGGAAAGATGGACTCCTCCGCCGTCGTGTGTTTGTATGCGGGGCTGAGGTGGCAGGGTGTTCTGGCATAAATTCAGCAAGTCGGGACGGAAAAGTCGCTTCCCGGGTGTGCGTGAGACGTGTGAGGAGGCGCAATGGACCTTGTTGAGGGTAATTGGCGACTGATGACACGAAGAGGCGGGAGCGGAAGTCTTCGCAAAGGCAAGATCGTCGAAACGTATGCGTGGGTATTCGAGAGTCAGTTTGGCGTCACCCGTAGCTAACGCCTAACAGATTCGTTGGACGCGACGCCGCCTGATCTGGCAATATATAGCTTGCTACAACCAGCTGCCAGAAGATAGGTGGAACGGATCTCAGCCTGAGCGATGTCGCCGGATCGAAGAAGTCACCGGTTGCTTTGGGACAAAAGAAGTAGTTCGCAGGCGGCAGCAGTCCAAGGCATGTTATAGACCAATAGGTGAGTCTCAGGTGGAGTGCGGATGATGTACGGTTGCATTGCATAGTGTGGATGAGGCGTGACGGTCGGTTTACGCTTGGAGAGACCTTATACGCTACCTGTTATGCGAGCATTCTAGCAAGTAGGTGAAGGTAGATTTAGTTCATTGGGGTTGGACCTGTATCATTGCGTACTCGAGGGAGGGAGTGTTGCCCATCGACTGTCAACGAGTGGCAAAAGAAGCTGACCCCGCAGGTATTCGATCGATGTCTTGGCCGAGTACAGCCTGTTCCTGCCCGGAATGTATGCATGATTGAGAAGTACGGCTGAGGAGTGAAATTGAAGGCAGTTGCTACCAGGCACCGTTGGGTTGGTATTTATTGACTACTATCAATGCCGCCATAACGCCTTCCTGATCCAGATATTCTAGACGCCAAACACCCAACGCTGATGGACGTAGCCATATGCTGCTAATACATTATCTCATAACAACAGGCATGAAACCGAAACACTCGCTACAATGCACCGGAACACTGTACTACTAGTACATGTCCTCCTCCTGCTGTCTGTCTAGAGTCGTCTGCCTGCTAAGAACGCTATTCCTTGCACTTCGATCCCGGCTTCGTGATGTATCAACGCTCAGGCTCCTCTGCAAGCTTGGACCTTCGGCGGCCAATCGCTCACGTTCCCTCTCGAGCATTGCCCTCAGGTCTGCATTCTCTTCCACCTTTTGCTCAAGCCTCTTTCGCGCACCGCTGCGATCGAGAAGTCTGGCTTCGCGCTCAGCTTTGAGCCTTCGCTCCAGCTCCTTGAGGCGGTGGATCCACTTCTGCTCGCTAGGCTGCAGTGGCCCTGCCTCGGGATACGGGTGCCCTGGTGATCGGCTCCCGCTCTGGGTTTGTTGCTGTTGTTGTTGAAGATGTTCCACGATTGAAGTCGAGTGCGCTCGGAGTAGGGTGTGGGCCATACTTCCACGCTTAGATGAAGTAGGCGAGCCTGTTCGAGAGGGGTTCTTGCTGACGATCAAGCTGTCGCCAGCTTGGGCTGTGGATGTGATGGCACGTAAAGTTGAGATTTCCGTTCGCAAGGTCTTGTTCTCGCTGCGCAGCTTGGTAACTTCTGCGGAGTTCAGCTCAACCATGCCACCGCGCACTGTGCTCGGTCTTCCAATGGACTGGGATTGTTTATGTGCCAAGACTACCTTCTCGAGCTGCTCGAGGCGCTTGAGGCGGCCATCGAGAGTGTGTTCAAGGGTCTGGTAATCGCGAACGAGGTCCTTCTCGGTTGCCCGTATCCTTTGCCGGAATCCACCGATAATACCTTCAACAGTCTTGACTGCAAGTACCATATTATTGTTGAAGCCCTTGATATTTCTCGAGATTAACTCCATAGACGTCAGCTCGCCATTGACGAGCGCATGGCTTCTGCACCATTCCGCACCGCACAATGTCGATAAGCGGTTCCAGAGCGCATAGAGTAAGTTGTTGCGCTCAAGTAGCTGCTCCTTGTATTGCTTCTCGAGGCCGTGTAGCTTCTGACGATCCTGGCTGCGTAGCGACTCCAGTTCGAGGACTCTGGTCTCGTGCAGCTGTATTGTCCTGGTGACAGACTGGTGGCCGCGTTTGGCGTTTTCGAATGTCGCCGCCTCTTGTCGGCGCAGTTGGCGTTCGCGCTCGAGCGCTTCCGTGCTCTGTCGGACTTGCAGACCTGTGCTCTCGAGTAGGGTGTCGCGGTTGCGCAGTAGTTGTTCCTTCTCGTGAAGGACATTCCTTGTGAAATTGAGTTCTTCGATAGTGGCATCGAGATCTCTTTGCAATTTCGTAATGCCCTGTCCAATGTGAGTAACTGCGAATGATGGATGATGGGATCGAGGATGTGTGGCTTACCTTGAGAAGGCCAGGCTTGGAGCCATTGTTATTGCCGAGAGCGTCGCGAAGGCTTGTCTCCAACTCATCGTGTTGTCGTCGCCAGTTGTTTGCCTCAACCTCCTTGCTGGACAGATCCTTCCGCAGCCTTCTGCTTTCGTCCTTGAGCTTGGCCAGTTGTGCGTTGAGATCAGTCATGACCTTCTCAACTTCCTGCTTGCCATGACTTTCCAGGGCGTCCCGTTGCTGTCGCTCTTCCGCGAAGCGATCTTCAAGGTCTCGGAGTCGTTCCTTCTCGTGTTGCATGTTAATGTGTGCATTCTCGAGATCCGATTCCAACTCGCCGATCTTGATCTTATCACCCTCTTGCTCTTCTCGAAGGAAGTCAACTTCTCCCTGGCACGATTCAAGTTGAATGTCAAGCTTCTCGTTCTTCGATCTCTCGTCGTTGAGCATCTTGTCCTGCCTGTCCAACTCTTCATTCGCGTCTTGCAACTCAGTTTCGAGGTTTTCGATCTTGCGCACGCTTGCGTTTTGTTGATCTTCAAGCTGAACTAGGCTTTCGCTTACATGTTTCATCTCCTGTTGTAGGGCGTTGAAGTCTTCGATGGAATGCTCCAGGTCGGTCGCTATGCGGTCGCGATCTTGCTGCATCTGCTCGAGCTCATTCTCGAGCTTCTGGATCGTCTCGAGTGCTTCCGCTCTGAGCTCTTCACATTCTTGCTCTTTGTCCTGCAGTAATTCCAGAGCTTCGTTGCGCTCTGCAGCAAGCGCTTGAATGTCCTCAGATTGTGCCTCAAGCTCTGTCTCGCACTCTTTGACCTTGTTCTCCGCAGTCTCTAGCATGTCGAGGTGTCCAACAAGTTGATCGTCGAGCTCCTTGTTCTGGAGCTTCAGCTGAGACAGCTCGTCCCGTGCGGCTGCCAACTTGCTTTCGAGATCTTCACGATCAGAATCGCTCACTTGAGTAATCCGTGTGCCGCCGCTAGCGCGCGAGACGGATCTCATGTGGTTGCGAGAGATGGATCGCTCCAGGATACTATCCCCAGCAATGGACCCGACGTCTCCTCTTCGAAGTGTGAGCCTAAGACCTTCGTTCTCTTCGCGCAATCGTGTATTTTCGCGATTCCGCGATGTAAGCATGGAAGTTTGGGCATGCAGGTCGCGTTGCAGCCGCTCGTTGTTGTTCTGGAGCTGGTCGACCAGCGTACTGGAGCCACCTGACGAAGGACGCTGTTGCTCTGAGGCTGCGTCTGAAGCGTACGATTGGTGAATTAGACGCGAGCTGGTATGGTTCCGGCTGCTGCTGTGATTGTTGGCGTGCTGCAGTATCTGGCGGTTCTGCTCTCTTGTACGCTGCAACTCCTCACGAAGTCTGTCGCGTTCGGACTCTGCGTGCTCACAACGAGCTTCCACCGCTTCGCGACGCATTCGCTCCTCGTGGAGGTCCTCTCTCCAGATATTGACGGCTTCGTTGTGCCCAGATTCGCCAGACGGGCTCTTTTCGCGCATCGTCTTGATGTAGTCTGCCATGCGCCGGTTGTCCGCCTCTTTCTGGAGAGCCTCTTGCTGCCACTGCTCTGTGATCGTCTCTGCTGACTCAAGACGTTCGCGCAAAAAATGAATCTCTTCCTCCAGCTCAGCCTGTGTTGACGAATCTCCACTCTTCTCGTCTTCCGATCCGCTACCACCATCTTTTGTCGTAGATTGCCCCTCCTCTTGAGACTTGAGTCTGCGCTCCAGCTCTCGGACTTTCTTGCGTAAGGTCTGGGACTCCTTCTTTTCGGTCGCGAGATCTGTCTGAAGCTGAACGTTCTTAGAGATCATCTCCTTGACTCCTTCATCAGACCGGTTCTGCAGCGCTTGGTCGAGGAAGTGAATCTTCAGCTTGAGGTCAAAGTTCTCTTTGCTGAGCTTGTCGATTTTGCTATTCTGCTCCTTCAGTGTCAAATTGTGCTTGCTCCTGGTGAACGGGGTCGCCGAATGCCGGCTCGGCGATCGAGAATGCTTCGCTCTGAACTCTCGCGCGACTGTGTCAGGGACTTGAATATCATGGACGTGCCTAGCGACCACAGTATCAGTCAGGTTTGTAGGACCTCCTGCCGCGCCTGTTCGTGGAGTCTCTGGCGGCGTTGTGGTGCCACCCAGCTCTTCATCCACCCTTCCCAGACCACCATCAGGGTGCAGCAAGCCAGACAGTGAATTTGCGCTAGCACTTCGGTGCTTGTCCCAAGGGTTGGAGTCACTGTACCCCGAAACGGAGGAGGCGATGCTGCCTAAACTTGGCAATCTTGATAGGCCCATGCTGCTCCTGTGAGGCAAGCCCGGGCGAGGGACTGCGCCGCCTGTTTGTAGGGCATAGTCGGCGCCCAAGCTGGCTGTGCTCGCCGCGTCGCCAGACACATCAGAGTGGTTTGTAAAAGAGGATACGGAGGATCTTTGGCTCGATTGGCGGTTCTGCAAGAAAGCCGGTCGCTTTCCAGCTCGTGGAGAGGTCGTCGTGATCTGAGGTAGAGTCATCATCGCTGCGCTGTCTAGGCTGGCGTCTGTCGCGCCGTTGATCGATGCAGCCTCTTCGAACTTGCTAAAGTCTGGGGCCTTGACCGTTGATGCGCTCGACACAGGTCGCAGAGAGTGGTCCAGTCCATTGTGCTCTGTCTCTGCTACACCGGGCGACTCGCTCCTGTCTCCATAGCCCTTCGACCTTCGTTGCGCGGCGTCAGCCGAAGGCGATGATGGCGCAGCTTCAGACATAGAATTTCCGTGGTCCAGCGAGTTATCAGTGGTGTCAACACTGAGGCGCCGTGCTGCCGGTGTCTTGTAGGCGCCTGCTGGTGTCGGCGGCTCGTTCGACAGGATCGATGAGTCCGTGTGCTGTGTATCCCCCTCGCTTTCGTCTGGTATTGGCACGTTCTGCGCGACTTCTGCGTCTTGGGTCGCAGGGCGCAGTGTGATTGGAGACCCTCCAAACAAGTAGGTATCGTCGGCGCCAACGCGCGTCTGTGAAGCGGCAGGGTGCGCAGACAGATCGGGGATGAAGCTCGACTCGACATCCATCAGCTGGCGCTTCATCTTGCGATCCATAAACTCGCTGCCATCGCTCGGTACGTTGTCGTCATTGAAGTCCTGGCGCAGGAAGCTGTCGTCTTCGGGCTCAGGGAGTGGCGGCAGGTCGGCATCGGCGACATCGAAGGCCTGAACATCCTCGAAGTCTGATATGCTGCGCTCCATGGGGCTATGCGTGGGTCCAGCCCGTGTGGCTGCGGTTGTTGTGGGCTTGCCGTTGTTTGTTTGGGTCGCCTCAGCAGCGGAGACAGGAGCGTTCGAGGCAGCCATTCTGGCGGGTGTGCGCGCGACGTGTGGGGTTGGCGCGTATATGTATGGAGCCTCGCGGCGTGCTCATCGGCATATCTGGTCCATGAAGGAGTCGGTGAAGTGACGACCCTAAAGTGCAGCGTGAACTTTCCCCTTTGCGCGACCGGTACGCGACGATCATTCGCGTGTTTATGAGGTCCATGCGCAGGACCCGCCAACGTTGTTCGGAGAAGTGCAGAGCCAGTCGGATCAGCTACCGGAACAGCCTTGCACTTCATCGTCCAAGCCCGTTGCCCTCTCTAGCAACCGTTGCCTGTTTATACGGCACTGCATTGATGTGTTGTTTTCTCTTTCATTTATTGGATCTACCCGCGAAGGGACAATGCTGTCAGGGTGCACTTGGCGGGCCCATGTCAAGCTGCTTCTCCACTGCCCTGCGTCCAAACGAACCACCAAAAGGCGATCATGATGATTCTCAACCCCGTCCCGTCAAGATGCGCCGTCTCGGTCCACCGAACTCTGTTTCGTATTGAAACCACCGACAAGCCAACGTCCACTCAATACAGACAGATCGACTTGGTGCTACTTCTTTCCAAACGGCATTCTGGCATTGCATAGACTACCATTGCTGGTATCGCTGATTTGCACATGCCATGACTTTCAAGCTCCGAATGCCTCCTCGGACCCATGCACGTAGATATTGAAAGTTCGTAAAGCCAATGCAACGCTCGATGCAGAAAAATACCAAGTGACGCCCCGTTCTTCTCAAACGATCAACGCGAGGTTCATGCCTTTGCTTTCTTCTCTTTCTTTGCTTTTTTCTCCTCCCTCTTCTTGAGTTCTTCTGGGGTCCTGTGCTTCTTGGCCTTCTTTGTAGGCACCTCATCCCCGTTGGCCTCGCTGTGCCTCCTCTTCGCAGCCTTTGTGGGTAAGTTCAGACCGTTTGGTGCAGCTAGCCCTGCACGCTCCTGTGGAACTTCATCTTCCTCGCTGTCGGTATCTCCCAGAACTCCTCCGGATACAGCACCAGTAAAACCGAGCGGTGTGTAGCGCATCTTCAAGCCCTTGACTTGCGGTCGTGGCGCGCGGATGGTCGATCGTGTGATGGATGCAGCGGCTTCCGACCCTGTCCTAGGATCCGCTTGTTTCGAGGTCAATTTCGGCAGTCGTACAAGTTCCTGGAGGTGGAGCGTCTGCTGTATCTTGGCGAGTGCTATGCGAAGTCAGACGGCAATCTCGAGATGTGCTCGGCGAACATACCTGTACGATAGCCATGCTTCCCAGGCACCAGGACTTCTCGAGGGCCATCCTCGCTCTTCTCAGTTGTTGAGAAACCATAGTTGGTGCCCTGGTGGCTCAAGATAGCGTCTCCCTTCATAGCCTTGTCCATCGCAATGGTTTGCAGCTCCTTCAATGACACTCCTGCAGGCGCGGTGATATGCCAGATCTGCTTTCCTTGCAGATTTTCGAAAATTTTTGCGGCTTTCGATCCAGTTCGATCCTTCTCGGATACGAGGTTGAAGCCCTTCGGTGGCTGGTATGGTTTCGCAGCGCGGAGCTCGACCTCTACTGATTTCGAATGTGCGGCCTGTGTAGGCTTCAGCGCCGGCTTCGCAGCCTCTTCCTCCTCACTCGAGCTGTCCGACTTGCTGTCGCTATCGCTGTCGCTGGATGCATCCTTCATCTCCACCTCTCCAGGCAATTTTGATTGGATATCTCTTGCCGGCGCATCGCTATCATCGGAGACCTCGGAGCTCGAAAGCTCTACGACCTGCTCGGGGTTTGAGATCGTCTTCGGCGCAGGCTTCTTGGGCGCAGACTTGGCCTGCGGGGCCGACTTCGAGGAAGAGTTCTTTTTTGTACTCGATTTCGCGGCGCCGTTTGGCCTGTGTACGCCAATCGTCGCCTTTGGCTTCTCTGCCTTCTTCGTTTTCGGTGCGCTTTCTGTGGACGAGTCGTCGTCGCTGCCAACCAACTCCCGACTTAGCGAGGTTTTTGGTAGCGGGACTTTGGACTTCTTGGGCTTCGAGCCCGGCAACGGTACTGGCGTCTTCTTTGCTGACATTTCGTTGTCTCGGGAATGCTCTAAGTTGCGACTGAGGATCGGAGCTCTCTTCGTGAACTTTTTCTGCCACCGCCTGCAGGCTGGACGCTGTCACGTATTTGGACGCGCTAACGGAAGGGTATTCACGACGCGACTTGACCTACACCATGGCTGCAAAGGGCGAGTAGAACTTCAAGAACGTCCTGGGAGACTGGAGCAGAGACCCAATCTGCCTAATTTGGAATTTCGATCTCGATGTTGCAGAATTCTGGCGCTCCTTTTAAATCGGCAACTTCGACATCTGGGTCGGGAATGACAATAGTTGCAGATACCTAAAAAGTGTGTACTGCGTAGGACTACAGTCATGCCAGTAAAGAGAAGGAAGCTAGAACAAACCGCTGCGGTTGCTTCAACGCAAAGTAAGAGCTATGGAAGCCCAATCTCGCCCCAGCTATCCTGACGAGGTATGCAGAGCCTGCTGCAAGAGCTGAGAAGCCACTTAGTGCCATAGCAGCGGCCAGACTGAGAGCAGAAGCTGCAACAAAGCCCGTCACCATTCCGGATACATCACTTGAGCCACTTGCTGCGCCATCTAGCCCGCCTGTTGAGGCGCTTCTATCCGAGCATGAAGAGTCTGAAGCAGAGTCAGAGCCAGTGTTCAAGCGGCGCAGTCTCAAGCTCTGCAACTGGCAAAATAACCCCAAGGATATCTTCGCCGAGAACGAGTTTGAGCTAAGCGTCAACTTGGATAAGAACACCACTTTCGCTCTTGTTGGTCACTTTGACTTCAAGGTATCAAGAGGCGCGATCAATGTCAATGGCGCAAACATCGGTGCTGTCATGCGGGATGGTCAGAAGGGACAGACTTACCGTGCGTATGTACCAGCAACACATCCAATCTTCAAGATCAGAGGTCTGGATGCAAAGAACTATGTACAGTTCTCATCGTGCAAGGAACCAACACCATTCGCAAAGTTGAGCCCCCTCTATGAAGACATCTGGAACATAGGTTCGCAAGGGGAAAGGAGGCGGACATTTGGTATAGTAAGTCCAGCCTCAAGTTTCGCCACAATGTGACAAACGCAAGGCGTTGATCATCAGCGCGCCAACATAACATGTCGCTAATGTTGATGTCAGATCACCAACTCTGAAGAGGACCCTCTCGAACGACCTCTTCAGCCTCAGTCAAGCCCAGAAGATTGGCTCCGTGCAATCGAGGACTGTGCCAGTGAGGCTTCGTCTACCCTCGTCACCGGCTCACCGGAGTCAGGGAAATCTACCTTTTGTAGAAGGTTGATCAACCGATACCTCACAGGCATGGGCAGAGCAAAATCCGCGGTACCCGCCGTTTGTTTCTTAGACCTGGATCACAGCAAGCCGGAGTATTCACCGCCAGGTCAGATATGTCTTGTCGTCGTAAGGCGGTTGAATCTAGGGCCCAGTTTTACACACCCTTTCACGGCGCCGCTGCAACCAGGCGCCGATCAAAACGAAACAGTCCGGTCGCATGTCATCCCAATGAATCTGGCGAACTACGAGGAGCACTATCGCGAATGCATTGAGGACCTCTATCTGGCGTACAAGAATCTCTTCTCGCGCGACTCGTCTCTCCCGCTACTTGTCAATACCCCAGGCTTCCTCTACACAACACATTTCTCGTTATTGGGACAGCTGCTTGTGCGCTTCAAACTCCAAAACATCATCCACCTAGGCGATACACGTACGATCGACCCTTCCAGCGCCGAGAAGCTCCACGCCCTACAAACAAGCAGTAAGAAACACCGCAGCATGCTCCACGAAATCACAGCACAGAGATCATCACTCCAGCCAATGCGATCAGACACCGAGCTGCGCACCATGCACATGCAATCTTACTTCCACCTCTCTACACCTCCAACCGCATCGGTCCCATCCTGGACCTCGACACCACTCAGCACCCACTTGCCCTGGGAATTCTCCTACCTCAGCACACCCACGCAGACACAAGACATAGTCGGCTTTCTCCCGCTCACCGAGCCCGTTCCTCCCTCCTCACTACTGCACTACCTCTGCGGCTCTATAGTTCACATCCTGCAATCCTCATCCTCGCGAATTCCGACTCCATACACCGCGCTGCCCCGCACGCCCAAGAGTTGGATCCCGTACTTCGCTGCAAACGAGAAGCTGGGGTACACAGAACCGCTTGACCCCCGCACGACGCGCGTCATGTGCGCTGCGCTGGTGCGCGGTATCGATCCGGTGAGGGGTGTGGTACAAGTCCTAGTTCCCAAGGCGTTGGAGCCGCTCATGGAAGATTTGAAGCCCGAGAGGACAGTTTTTGTGGTGGGATGTGTGGAGACGCCGGGATGGGCGTATGTCGAGGACGCGTACCTGGGTCAGTATGAAGAAGAGATTGGAGAGAGGAAGGTCGGGAGTGGAGTGTTAGGGGTGTGGGTTGAGAAGGAGGCGGTTATGGATGGGATGGGATATCTGGGGGCTGTGAGGCGGGTGAGGAAGTTCATCACAGGGGAGAAGGAGAAGTGAGATGATCTTTAGCAATATTGATGAAAATGGAAGAGAGACATCAGAGCTTCGAAAGGTACCACGTCTGCTGTGGTACATGCAAGTGAGCTTACTTCATGCTCCTCGCTTTCTCCAAATCCTGCTCGTTCAACTCCCTCAGCACACCCGTGTTTGCGACTCCACCTGTGATAGCTGCACCAGCCATTTCCTTTGCAAATCCGAGCATACCAACCGTTGTCTTGTAGTACGCGACATACTTGCTCTTTACCTCAATGAGAGTCATGCGCGGATCATCAGGGCTGCCGTCGTGCTTGCCGTCGCCCAGGTCGCCGAACCAGACTGCCGCGGCGCGGCTCCAGACTTCCTTGATGCGCGGATCGGAGTTGGAGGTCGTTGTTGCAGTGCCAGAGATGGAGATCCAGTCTTGTGTCTTGCTATCTTGGAAGGTGATCTGGACTTCCTTGTTTGACTCGAGGTCAGAGAACTTCTTGCTGTGGTTGTTGGAAAGAAATAGGAAGTCAGGGCCATTGCGGCGGGCGACGGCCATGGAGCGACCGACAGGGCCTGGAGGGTGTTAGTGGTAGCTTGGTGGCAGTGGTGAGTGAGATTGCCTACCAACACCATTACGGTATGTGTTCAGGATACCGATCTTCTTGTTGTCGGCCAAGGAAAAGAAATCCGTGATCTGTGTGACCTTGTCGGTCTCGGTGTCGTATTGCTTGGCGGTGGAAGGGTCCGTCTGGGAGTTGACCTCATGGGACTTGAGCTGTTCCGGCATCTTGAACTGTGACGAAATCGAAAACTGTCTCGAGGATTGTAGACGTGTGGGTTTGAATGTCAATGTAGATCGAGCAATGGATTTTGTCGAATATCTAGCCGGAGCACGAGCAGCAAAGCGTACAAGTAGTCGAGGAGCAGACATGATGAAGCAGAATTACGTCAAACCAGGTGCAGAGAGCGGAATACTTTTTACACCGACAACAGCAGTGTGACGTCGCTGCAATGCTTCTTTATGACATAACATCTATTGCTGTGGAGTTTGGGTTGCTGTAGGAATATGTATGACGATCGATTAAATGGCGAAAACGTGTCATGGCCAATGAGGTGCTCTCACACGTTCCGCTGTCTTGGACAGCCCGGGGGACACGGAAGACGCGGGGTCCGAAGCTCGAGATGAGTTCGAAGATGAGAGAGAGTCCGAAACATCTGTCTTTGTATGGTCTGAACGATGGTGACTGCCGTAGGGTGACAATGCTTGTTGTGGACTGTGAAGGTCTCCCTACTGAACGACCCTGACAGCCATTCTCTTCTTTTTTAAACTCCTTGAGTTTTTGGCACAACAAGCATGTCTCTTCCATCTTGTCCCGGACCGTTACTCATCAACTCGAAGTTCTCGGTACTTGATGGCTGCTGGCGCTCAAGTTGGTGTGACATTTCACGCTGATGACTACCATGGCGTCATCAACCCCCGGCCTTCGGACCACCCCCAATTTGTTCGTATCGATGTTGCGACTATCGCCCATGTCAGCAAGGGCGCGAAGATATCTCATGACGCTTCTCCCAAAGTGCCAAGGCCCATGTCAGCAAGGACGCGAAGATATCTCATGACGCTTCTCCCAAAGTGCCAAGGCCCATGGAAACCTGAGTGGAGCCCACTTGCTTGGAAATGCGAAGGAGACCTTAAGCAGGAGCGTCCGAATCAGATAATGAGACTTGCTGGTCTTCTTGCTTGGACTTGGGTGTGGCGAAGCCGCTATACGAAGTAACCTCCACTGGATCTTGCATGCTTGTTGAGTGTGCGAAAGGCACTTGTCAACTCGTTGGCTCTGACCTGCATTCTGCCTCTCAGGTAGCAAGGGAAGATAGCTACTACACCCAAATCATTCTAACGTCCACAAGGCGAGAGAGATCTATGACAAGTGCAAGATACTTGCAGAAAGTCATTTACTGCAACTGACACTTCCTATTAGAAGAAGACAACTTCTTGTCAGAACGACATGCATACCGCTGATACGATACGGCGTTCTGACGATGCACTTTGTATCTTTTTGTACATCCAGGAAAGAATGTTGAGCTTGGTGTTCGGTCTGAGTTGGGTGTGACCAAAGCGCGCCGAGGTTGGACCGGCGCTGCGACATCTTCGCTCAACGCCGTCGCGCTCTCGAGAGACACCCAAAAGTGCCTACATGGACACACCCCATGGCCCTAATCGCACCGCGGCCCGGGCCAGGCGAGATAATTGATTTCAATGATCCACCCTCGTCGCCTGAACCAGCACCGCAAATCCACGATGGGCCGCTGTACACTTCGCGACCTCTTCCAGAATATGTGAGCGCCGAAGACTACCATGAGGGCCTCAAGCAGATCCGCGCCCATCTCGGGCGCGACTGCGGCTTCGGTATCGCCATCTCGCGCACCAAATCGTACACGCCTATGAAGACGGGCCAGAAGAGGATAACGCGTGTGATGTTGCAATGCGCCCGGTCGAAGGAGTACAAGAGCAAAGGCATTGGGCATAAAGTGTACGCGACGCGAATGACAGGATGTCCCTGGCGAGCGAAGATGCAGCCTCAGTCTGGCGGCGGCTGGAAGGTCACTGGTGTTTGTCACGAGCACAACCACGAGTTGAACGATGTGCTGGATGACAGAGGCATGCCTCCGCGTGCGAGGACAACCGCAACATCGGTGAGAAGGAAGACTGGCGAGGGCTCGTTCACGCCTCCTGCGCCGTCCACATACACCAATATACCGCCTGCTGCTCCACCACCCGTGACTACGAATTGGCCCATCATAACAGTCAGCGGCGTCAGACGTGTTATAGTCCCCATGCAGCAGCGACTGTTGACGGCATCGCGTGGCCAATTTCCCATGGATGAGCCCATGTTCCTCATCTACAACGAGCGCTTCCAGAATATACTCGGCACCGGTGCAGACCTCAAAGTCGCGTTGGAGGAGGACTTCCCCTTTGCCTACCAGGGCGGCGTCTACACACCAGCGAACGACATCCTGTACGTGACCAGCAACCAATACAATCTCCCAACCGGACACGACAAAGTCGCCATTATCAGCAAGATGACACGCAATATCTACAACCAATGGACACGGACCCAAGTTCCAAATCAAGTTCGCAACCCCGCCGGCGGCGCAGCCTACAACGACGGCGTGATCGACGGTATCCTGTTCTGCGCCCAGGGCGATATGGAGAACACCACGGGCCTTGTACAAATGGAATCAGACTACCCATTCCGCATCCGTACACTAGTCAACAACTACTACGGCCGGCGCTTCAACTCGCCGAAAGACATCGCCGTGCACAGCGACGGGAGTATATACTTCACGGACCCCGTCTACGGCCACGACCAGGGCACACGGCCCCCTCCCGAGCTACCGAACCAGGTGTACAGATTCGAGCCGCACACGGGAGATGTGCGAGTCGTGGCTGATGGGTTCGGGAGGCCGAGTGGGATATGCTTTAGTCCGAAGGAAGGCACGTGCTATATCAGCGATACGGAATTCATTCATGGGAATGGGCATGTGGATTTCGAGCGCGCGAGTACAATGTCAGCCTCTCGCTTCATAAATTGTAAGCACCCAACTGACATTGAGCAGCTACGCATACGACGTCGGCGACCGCGCACAATCCAAGTTCCTTATGAACCGCCGCGTCTTCGCCATGGCTGATGTTGGCGTACCAGATGGTCTGAAATGCGACCTAGCCGGCAACGTGTATGCCGCGTGTGGTGATGGTTTGAGTGTATGGAGTCCTGGTGGCGTGCTGTTGGGCAAAGTGCTTGTCCCTGGCGGCCTTGCTAATTTTACTTTTGGACGCAAGGGCGAGCTGTTCCTGCTTAATGGGAAGAAGCTTTGGTTGTTGAAGGTTGCGGAGACGGTGAAGGGGGCGCTGGTCAATTGGGAGGCGCTGAGGTATGAAGAAGTGGAGTAGAACCCTTCGCTGCCAGGTCTCGAGGTTTCGAACAGCTTGCTTCCAATGCGCGATCTGATCTCCAGCTCAGAGCACGGCGTTCAAGAAGCAGAAAATCCGAAGATGGTCAACACTGACACGCCCTTTCGCGAGGACTCATTCTCTCCTTCACAACATCTCATCCCGGCAGTCACACCCTATGACTTCCAAATCAAGTCCACAGAACAGGCAGGTCGCAACGCTGACTATGATCTACACATGGTTTGTGGTCGCCAACTATTCCTTGAAGCTGGAAGCAAACGCCTCCTCTCATGCCATCTCACGAATTTACCCAATTGACATCGTCCAACAGTTTGTTTTGATCAACATACTATGTATTTTCTCGGCGTTTCGAAGATGCCGAGTGCTTCATTGTGATGTTCGTATTAGGAACATCATCAGTGAGGGCTCGTTCACTTGAGGAAATGAGCTTCAGGGTCCACCAAGCCCCTGCTGATGCTTGTCTTCCCAAGACTCCCGCCCAAGCCGATCGTCGCTGTCAGACCATGTGTCTCGCATGCATGGCGTTGCTTGATCCAGTTATCCACGTCGCTGGATATAGTTGCAGCAATCCTATCCACCTGAACCGTCATTCGAGCGGCGAATCAGGTCCAGTATTTCGACGTGCTGCGCTGACGGTGCCTGCTGAAGCCGCAGTCCAGGCCCACTCTCGAAGGAGTTCACGCGGTGTGCGTGCTCTGCGCCAGCTAAACCTCGGTCGATCTAGCCAATAATCAACTGCTCTTGGCATCCAGGAACGAGCATGGTCAAACCACGACACGCCCCCTGCGTCCAAATCGTATCAACTCCGGAAGATCTTCAAATCCCATTTTGTCACAGTGTGACCGCGCCGTGCGCCTGTCGCTCTAAGCTGGTGGAGTCGTGAGCGCTGCCGCTTGCCGTGAGTGGGTCGGTGAATACCTATCGCACCTAGGCATGATTTGTACCTGGGCAGCCCCTGGCTCTGGGGCTTCGCTGGGGCTTACCGGCCGTTTTCGAGCTACGAATAGCTCGCCCTCATTTTATCGTCGTATCGTCGGGCCACCCGCTGATGGTGTGTCTTAGGGTAGGCTTCGCTCTCGTCCCATGGCTTAATGCTTCTTGATTCTGTCACTCCCAACGTCTCCACGGCTTCACATTGGTTCTTTGTAGTAGCAGTCTAGTCACTCGTTTGTCCCGCACGTTATGCCATTATGATCCACAAAGGACTCGGCGTCTCGACTACGCATCTTGTTTTTTATATTTCTACTTTTATCGTAGCGACGCAGTTATGGTCCCTCTGGACACAGTCGACGAGAGGCGGCTGGTTCCCCCATGAGCGGCGAGAATTCATCTTCGACGCTGACAAGCACGCAAACATCCACACTTTCAGTCACGAACAATGCGATAGTTCGTTCCCAAAATTATACCACAGTCTCGACCAGTCAGTCGCCCGGCGGCAGGGGCGGAAAGTACACATGCAGGATATCGAGATCGCGAAGGGCAGATGTATGCTCCGGCTGATGATCTACGAAGGCGAGGTACGACACACCAACACCCAATCCGCCAATCGTCTCTAACAAAAGCAGCTCTTCGTCATCGACTCGGGCAAACCGGAAGAATGCTACGTAACCAACGGCAACGAGCGCGAGCGCATCCTCGGCACACTGGCGCAAATCGACCGCGCCCTCTCCACATCCCCAACGTCGGACCCCTCAGTGCCCAACATCGAGTTCAGTCTCTCGCTCGACGACCTCCCGCGCCGCTCAAAGGGCAAGGGCGTCTTCTTCGGCTACACGCGCAAGGAGGAGCGGGAGTACAACGACATCTGGATGATGCCCAACTACGCGTACTGGAGCTGGAACTACACGCATGCGCCGAGCTGGAACAGCATCCGGCGGGAGATAGAAATGAAAGAAGCCGAAGTGCCCTGGGAGAAAAAAGACCCACGGATCGTATGGCGCGGGAAGGTCAGAATGGCGGAGCTGCGCAAGGAGCTGGTGCGCATCAGCGCGGGCAAGCCCTGGAGCGATATCAAACCCGTCGTCATCAACAACGCGTCGGACGCGCACACAAAGGACGTTATGAACCTGCGCCAGTTCTGCGGCTACAAGTTCACCGTTCAGACAGAGGGCACCAGCTACTCGGGCCGGCTGAAGTATCTGCAGCTGTGCCGCAGCGCGCTCGTCACGCACCCGCTCGAGTGGCAGGAGTTCCATACGCACATCATGCGGCTCGCGGGTCCGGACGTGAATTACATCGAGGCGAGCGAGAACTTTGGCAATCTCGAGGCCGCCATGGAGTACTACCGCGAGCACGACGCCGAGGCGGAGCAGATTGCGCGCAACAGCTACGAAACGTTTGCGAGGCGGTATTTGACGCCTGCCGCTGTAAGTCTCTTCCCCGATGGATGCACAACGCGATTTTGTTCTGACGAGGGATAGGTCACGTGCTATTGGCGACGCTTGTTCTGGACGTGGGCGAGCGTGCAGGGCTACGAGCCGCAGCTGTACACCAAGGACGGGGAGGGCAATATGGCCATGCGGGGCACGCCGTGGACGGCGTTTGCGGCGAACTGGCCGCGCGATCCGTCGATCATCCCGTGAGCGGGAGATGTGTGTAGATTCAAGGAGGGGCGGTGGCATTGACAATCAGCGAGCATTTGCATCATGGCGTTAGGTAGAAACGATAACCGCATTCATGACGATCATAGTGTAATTCGAAAAAACGAATATTGCATGAGCTGGCTGGCGGGTGTGCTCTTGAAGCGACATGTGAGTGCCATTGACACACGAAGAATACATTCACCGTGCACGACTCATCCACACGACTCATCCACACGACTCATCCACACGACTCAGCACTTCATCTTGATGCCCCTCCGCTTCTCGGCCTCCCGCCACTCAAACATGAACTGCACGCCCGTGAACAGCGCGAAGCAGGCCGTCGCCAGAAACGCCCAGCCAGACCACGACCCCGTGATGCCCTTGACCAGGCCGTCCAGGCCGTCCAAGCCCAGCGCAAACCCGACCAGATTGGCAACCATGAGCATGAGGATCTCGCCGACGGCGCCCAGGCCGCACAGCATGCGGTACAGATCCGGGCTGTTCTTGTACCTGCGGGCGGGAAAGAGGTGGCCGGCAATGATCTCTGGTAGCACGAACAGCGTCACCAGCCATCCCCACATGAGCAGCCGGAGCTGGATGTCATGCCAGATGGCGATGAAGCTGAAGACGGCGCAGTAGTTTGCGACGCCTCTGAGTTTCCCCCAGAAGCCCGGCAGCGCACTGCCGCCGAGCGGGATGTACAGGTAGCGCAGGCTCCACTTGTTGAAGCTGCGGTGCCAGCCGCGCCAGAACTGCATGACGCTGTAGTTGTCGCTCATGCAGCGGACCATGTTCTCGGGCGGATCGATGCCGTCGAGCAGCGCCCAGAGCCGGAAGAAGCGCCACGGGATCAGCAGCTTGAGCCAGATGTGCTTGAGGTTGAAGAAGCCGAGCATGCTGAGCTGCGCGGGGGTGTAGTTGCTCCAGGCGGGTTTGGCGTGGAAGATGGCGACCATGTACATGTAGTGGATCATGATTTCCATTGTGAGCAGCACGATGACGAAGCGGATGGCGTACAGAGCGGTGCGTCTCGAGGTGATGCTGTGCGGGCGGTAGCGCGCCTGCGAGATGTAGTCGTTGAAGGTGAGGATGGGGCCGGCGAGGTAGAGGGGGGAGTACATGGTGTAGGCAAAGTAGTTTCGGAAGGTGAAGTCGTGGGGCTTGGCGGGGATGGAGACGCGGTCGCGTTCCGACAGGTTCGAGGGGTCGAGTTGCTTCTTCTTGATGTTATTAGCTTGATCGGACGGCGCCCGGACGGCGGACATACCTCTAGCGGGCTGCTCGCACGGGTGTTCAGGCTCCAGTAGTAGTCCAGGTTGAAGCTGATGAGGCGAAGGACAGTGAAGTTGAAGAGAACGTCCCATCGCGGGATGAGCCCCCCGTAGCTGTCAAGCGTGTGACCAAAGTTGGTGGCTGGCGTGCCCTTCTCGGACAGTGTTGATGGGAGGAAGAAGGCGAAGATGGCAGAGTAGCGGTAACCGTGTAACAGCTCGTTGGCGAACAAGACAGCAAGGTTGAAGATCCACGTTGCGCCTGGCACGTAAGCTCGAGGCAGCTTCATGGCTATTTGGTAGTTGAGGTAGAGAATCGCAAGAATCTTGAAGATGGAGAAGCCGTGCAGTGCTGCCAGAAAGACGACGGCAAAGCCCACGTCGAAGGACAGACGCTGGCTCAGACGAGCATCTGCGGCAGCTGCAGCTGTCAAGCCCATGGTCAGTCCCCCGGGGGATGGGCGGACCTGAGTGTACGTGTCGGCCCTCCAGAAGGCATCGTACGCTTTTCTCAACAGCGGATGGAGTGTGACAACTACGAAGAGATAGGGCACGTTCTGTCGAAAGCCCGAGTACTGCGCATCCGTATTGTCCTTTGGTCGTCAGCATATGCTGGCACGTGACAGGGGCATATGCTGGCACGTGACAGGGGCATACTCACCACTTTGCGGCCCGGTATCCAGCCATCGGACAGCAGGTGGGAGAAGTGTGAAAAGTTTGGATGAGACTCTACGCTGGTGTCAGCGTGGATGAAGATGCGTGATTGCAATAGACTGACCCTTTGAACAATCAACTACCAGCTTGAACATGAAGAAGACGCTAGCTGATATGGCGAGGTAGTAAAAGTAGAACTCGTTGGTCCTCCATCGCGGCGGTTGAACGTTGTCGTGGCCATTCCGGCTCTTGTCTCTTCCATTGGATATCGGGGAGGGACTCGCAGGGTCGGCGTTTGCCTGTTCTAGGGCTTCCCTAGGGGGCGAGGTGGCCGGAACGACGAAACGGGTGTCTAGCGTGTCCAGCGAATAGAGCTGGCGAATATATGAGAGCGCCATTATGGTGTTTCAGAGCTATGTCTTCATGTTTGGCGATTCAATGTGCACGCCATGCACGTGGGGTGGCGTTTGGTGTTGGTGTTGCGGGGAGGACGGGGGTGCGAGCGAGTTCGAGGTGGAGCTGTTGGCGTGTTCGCGCCTTCGACCTGGCGCTCGCGCGAAGCTTCCTCCTCCACCTCGCACCCACGCCAAGACACTCTTGCTGCTGTCGCATACCTCCAACTACGCGTCAATCGATCCGTTGAGCTACGGGATACCACTCGAGAAGCCCTGAGAGCGGGAGGACTCGGCGCAATGAACATGACCAACTCCTCGACGGCGCCGGCTGCGGGCGAATATGCCGGAGGTAATTCCACCGACGAAGCTATACCGCGTCGCATACTGACACGTAGCGTGTAGACGAGGTCTCTGCGATCGTGCTCGACCCGGGCTACTCGACGACACGCGCTGGCTTCGCGGGCGAGGACGTGCCCAAGAGCGTGTGCCCTTCGTTCTACGGCCAGAGCGACAACGACTCGTACCTGTTCGGCGAGAACGCGATCCACTCGCCGGTCGGCAACGTCAACATCAAGAACTACTGGGGCGCAGACGGCATCGTGGAAGACTGGGACGCGGCGGCGAAGCTGTGGGAGTACTCGATCACAAGCCGACTGACGGGCGCGAGAGCCGGCGACCCGACACGAAACGGGCTCAACAACGCGCCCGCGAACGGCGAGTCGATGGAGGTGGAAATGGAGGGCGTAGAGAACAACGAGAAGCCCATGGAAGACAGCCCTCTGCTCATGACGGAGCCGGGGTGGAACAGCGTCAAGGCGCGCGAAAAGTACATTGAGGTGGCCATGGAGGACTGGGGCGTGCCGGCGTTTTTCCTGCAAAAGACGGGCGTGCTCGCGGCGTTTGCCTCGGGCAAGGCGTCGGGCATCATCATCGACGTCGGCGCATCGCACACCAGCGTCACGCCCGTGCTCGACGGCATGGTGCTGCGCAAGGGCGTGCAGAAGTCGCCGCTCGCAGGCAACTTTGTCAGCCAGCAGATCCGGCAGACGTTCCAGACGGCGTCGCCGGAGATTCCCCTCACGCCGCACTACCTGGTCAAGTCCAAGACGCAGGTTGACGCCGGGGCGCCGGCCAGCGCGACGTACAAGACATTCCCCGTGGAACCCAGCGCGTCGTTTCGGCTCAACGAGGAGGAGCGGGTGCTCACGGAGTTCAAGGAGTCCGTGGTGGAGGTCTGGGCGGGCCCGGGGCGGTTTGGCAACGGGAGCAACGAGGAGCTCGCTCGGAGCGCGCCGGGCAGGCCGTTTGAGATGCCCGACGGGTGGAACAACGTGTTCGGGGCGGAGCGGTTCCGGGTGGCCGAGGGCCTGTTCGACGCCAGCGCGGCGCTGGCGAGCGAGAGCCAGGCGCGGCCCAAGGACGAGTGGACGATTCCGCGGCTCGTGCAGGCGGCCGTCAGCCAGGTGGACGCGGACCAGCGGCCGATGCTGCTGGGCAACATTGTGGTGACGGGCGGGTCGACGCTGCTGCACAAGTTCACGGAGCGGCTGAACGCCGAGATCAACGGCGTGTACCCGAGCACGCGCAGCAAGCTGATTGCGCCGGGCAGCGTGGTCGAGCGCAAGTACGCGGCGTGGATTGGCGGGTCGATCCTGGCCAGCCTGGGCAGCTTCCACCAGCTGTGGGTCAGCCGGAAGGAGTACGAGGAGCACGGGGCGGGGATTGTGGAGAAGCGGTGCAGGTAGACGTGGTGGAGGGTGAGCTGAGGTGGGGTGAGGTGAGGTGGGAGGTGTGGTGGGAGGTGTGGTGGGAGGTGTGGTGGGAGGTGAGGTGAGGCGAGGTGTGGTGTGATGGGAGGTGAGGTGAGGTGTGGTGGGAGGTGAGGTGAGGTGTGGTGGGAGGTGAGGTGTGGTGAGATGAGGCGTAGGTGGGACTATGAAGTCACTGCTTGATGTGAAATGCTGCTCAATACAAGGGATACGAGATTACTGCGATTAAAAGGTTGTCACTGCTGCCCGAGGAGGACAAAGTCACTGCTGCATGACAAGACAATGGAACCACTGCTTCACAGGGATAGAGAATCCCCTCATTCATAGCCATCATCCGACTCATTCATTCATAGTCATCGTATTGCCATCTATCTGGCTGGCGCAGTGCAGTCACCACTCTGCCACCCCCCTACGTGTCGAGGTCCATGGCCTCGGCCGTGGCCGTCACGTCCCCGTCCTTGAGCTCCGAGACGGTCACGTACTTGCTAATCTCCTCCCGTGTGATGATCTTCTCGTTGAGGACGGCCGTGGTGCCCTTCTGGAAGCGGTAGTTGCGCTGCTTGGGCTGCCTTGTGTTGGGGGTCATGTAGTTGCGCATGAGCGTCGTCTTCTCGGCGGTGATGACGGCGACGTCGACGTTGCTTCCCGAGCCCAGGTCGTTCCAGATGCCGGCCTCGATGGCGCTGGCGCACAGCTTGACGGCGGCGTCGCGGCTCAGGTTCGGCTCCCACTGGGTCTCAAAGACGGACATGGCCGCCAGCGAGCCAGAGCCCATGGTGACGTACGGCAGCTTGTCCGTGGACCCGTGGGCGTGGACGGTGAAGAGGTGGGCGCCCGTGGGGTCGACGCCGGCGACGACGAGGTAGGCGCCAATGTGGCCCTGGTGGCGGAAGAGGTGCTGCTTGAGCAGCGTCATGGCGGTGACGACGCGCGACTTGCGGCCGGTGCTGAGCGCGTGCAGCTCGAGGTTCGACGAGATGATGGCCGTCGTGAACTCGGTGTCGGCCGCGGTGCCTGCGCCGGCACACCAGATGTGTGGGGCGATGAAGTGCAGCTTCTCGCAGTTCTGGCGTGGTTGGGTCAGCACGGCGAACCTCTACTACTATGCCACCATGCGGTGGCTGCTTGCTTGCGGGGGCGCGCGCACCTTGTCGGCCACAATGGGCCCGCTGGTGGCTCGCGTGTCTGCGGCAATGACGACGCCGCCGTCAAACAGCGCGCCCACAATGGTGGTGCCCGTGCTCGTCGCCTTGGGCAGCGGCACGCCCTGCGCGTGGAGGGCGGCGTTGCGGTTGTGGCTGGAGAAGTCGAAGCCGGCCATGGTGGCGGTGGGCGTGAGAAAGGACGGGCGGTGGGCGTGAGAAAGGACGGGCGGACAGGCGGACGGGCAGACGGGCAGACGGGCAGACGTATCAACCGACGGTCGGGGCAGATGGGCAGCTTCAGCGGACGGTCGGGGCAGACGGGCAGCTTCAGCGGACGGTGCAGTGAAAGCAGTGGTTGGTGACGGGGAGTGGTGGAGTACTTTGGCACGAGAGTGCTTGTGCTCCAGGTACGAAGCAGGCAGACGGTCAACGCGGCGGGAGCTGTGCTCCACTCTGGTACCTATCTGATCCTTGGCAGCAGCGCCCGTCCCGACTGCACATGTACATTTGCGCCGCCATCACCGCGCGCACTCGCACCGCAGCCGTCCGCCGCCCCGCCGTCTTGCTTTCGGGTGCCTTTTGTCAGAGGCACGCGCTGCTCGGCTTCCGCCCTGGCTCCCCCGTCGAGATTCGTTGTGCCCGGACCCGCGACGCTCGCGCAGATTGACAAGGAACGCGCCGAACACAAAGCGCGTGAAGAGCGCGAGCTGAGTGAAAGACTCGCGCAGTCCCAGGGCTCAGAGGCACGCAACACGCCCACCCCGAGCCGCGCGACGCCCACCCGCTTCCTGCGCTCCTCGCTCTCCTACGAGTCGCCCGCGTCGCTGAAGAAGAGCGTCGAGTCGCCCACGTCGCTAAAGAAGAGCGTCGAGTCGCCCGCGTCGCTGAAGAAGAGCCTCGACCTGCTGCGCCCGAGCCCGTCGCCGCACTCGCCCTCCAAGCCCGCCTCGGCCAGATCCTCGCCCGTGCTGCCGCGCTTCAGCTCGCATGACCCCTCGCCCACGCTCTTGCGCCGCCAGACCAGCCGCGACCTCAGGCCCGACCAGCCGCGCGCGACCATGAGCTTCAGCCAGAGCGCCGCCGCGCCCGCCGCGCCCGCCGCCAACGTCGGCGCCGACGTGCCGTCCATTCTCGCAGAGGTACCGACGCCATCCCGCGGGACCGTCGACGCGCGCCTTGCATGCTGACTGCCGTCCAGGAACTGTCCTTCAAGGCCCTCAGCCAGGGCGCAGAGGGCGCCAAGAAGCTCCGCCTCCTCCCCACGCCGTGGCCGACCGACGCGGTGCCGCCGGCCAGCGTGACGCTCCTCTCCATTGCCTCCAAGCCGGGCCTGCTCGCCGCTGCCGGCCCCGACACCCTCGTGCTGGCGTCGACCGACAGGGTCCGCAAAGCGTTCCAGGACAAGGCCGGCGAGTGGGACGTCGTCGCAGAGTTTGCGCCCGACGCGACGCTGCCGGTCCCCAAGCTGCGCCATGTTGCCTTTTCTGCCGAGGGCGACTTCCTCGTCATCTCGGCAGAGGACGGTGGCGGCCTCGCCGTCTTCGATCCTGCACAGCTGCTGCGCGGCGTCCAGAAGGCTGGAAACGAGATCGCCACAGACAAGCAGCCCGTGCGCGCGCTCTTGCCCAACCCCATATCCGAAATGGAGCACATGTTTGCCGCCGTCCTGGACAGCGGGAAGCTGTGTCTGATGGATGTCGCCAGCGGCAAGACAAGCACGCTCAGGGACGACGGCGTTGTGTGCGCGTCGTGGAGCACCCGCGGCAAGGCGCTCGCAGTCGGCCTGAAAGACGGCACCGGCGTCCTGTACCTGACCGACGGCTCCCAGAAGGCTGTGGTCCCGCGCCCGCCTTCCCTCAACGAGGGCTTCACCTACAGCGGCCTGGTCTGGCTCGCCAACGACGAGTTCTTCATTGTGCATTTCCCGAAGCAGTCTGCAATCGACACGGGCGAGCCCGAGGAGGCCAGGTACCACTACGTGCGGAGCAACAAGGGCTGGACCTCGTTCTCGTTCCACCCGACCCCAGAAGAGCCCATACTTCCAGCCTGGGACGCCCCGCCGCGCGCCTTCCCTCCCCGCCTCTCCGTCACACGACTGCGCAACTGGGAGCCTGATCTCGACGACTTGCTCATCCTCACCAACTCGCACTCGGACACCATCGTTGCCGTCACCTCGGCAAGCGCCGAGCTGTCTCGCGGCGGGCCCGTCCACGAGTACGCAGTGACGGAGCTCAACGAAGGCCAGGGTGCTCAGGTCCCGCGCAGAGTCTTTGGCGAGGACGGCGACAGTCTCCTGATTGGTGAGGCGCTGGATCTGTCCGCGACGGAGACGCTCCTGCGACCCATTGCCTCGAACGAGGAGATCAGCCAAGCCCCACACCCTCTGCCCGCCTACGTCTTCCTCACCCACCAGGGTATCTTGTCGGCATACTGGGTGGTGTGGAACCGCTCCATCGCCAAAGGCAAGCGCTACCCCGGCCTCATTGCACCTCCGTCGTCCACGTTGGGCGCGCCAGCCCCTGCGCCGAAGCCATCGCCCTCCAAGATTCCTACTCCCGGAGGCAGCAGTCTTTTTGGCAAGCCCGCGGCTTCAGCATTCGGCGCGCCCTGCACACCCTCTGCGCCCAAGTTTGGCGCCTCTCCTTTCGCCTCTACAACGCCAGCCGCTTCTTTTGGGACACCGGCCTTTGGCGCTCCTTCCACACCCGCTGCAGCCTTTGGCGCTCCTTCCACACCCGCTGCAACCTTTGGCCAGCCTGCCCCCGCTGCACCTGCCTTTGGTGCCGCATCAGGCATCGCTAAGCCCTCGCCTTGGGGTTCAGCGTCGCCGCAGCCTTCCTCGACTCCTGCGAACCCCTTCTCCGGAGGTGGCTCCTCTGGCTTCGCCAAGTTTGGCCAGCCGACTTTGGGAGCCAGCTCGGGCTCTCCGTTTGGCGGAGCACCTGCTGGCCAGTCCGGCTTCGGAGGTCTCGGACAGCAAAAGTCGAGCCTCTTTGGAGGCACGGGTGCAAGCCAGTCTGGCTTTGCAGGCCTTGGACAGCAAAAGCCGAGCCCCTTTGGAGGCAC